AGAGCTTCCAGGTAGCTTCGAGTCTTCCAGCGCACGGGGTAGTAAAGAAGAACAGCCAAATGGCTTTGTCTCAAGCACCCGAAACCCAATCCCAAATCATATAGCCGGAGCAACTCTCCCTGGACTTGGGGCAGCAACGATACTCTTTTAGTGCTGACCAGCTTTTGAAACGAAAGTCAGCCAGAAAGCTTGCCAAGCCGTTGTGTGGATTATTGTTATTTCAAGTAGAGATCCAGTCAGCGGCGCTAAAACGCACAAATCACCAGCAGGAGGCTTCAGGATGCTCCGCCTTGCTTCAATGTTCGTGATACGAAGCCTTCAGGGTTGCCATGGCCTGCAAGACCTGCAGTCATTCGGCTCAACCTAGTCACCTCAACAATAGTCGACTCAGACGCAAAGGTCAAAACTTCACGAGGCGCTTGTCGCTCTGGCAGTCTCATTTTACCGCTGAAGACAATCGGAGAACCGTTTTGCCTCAAGGAAGCACCTTAAAGTGCAGCGCCAAGAGCATTCAGATCGGCAACTCAGATCCACAGATGAGTCGAGGATGGCAGGAGCCTTGCCTGTGCAGTGACTACGCCCACTACACAGCTGTGGAAAGATAAATTCCAACGAAGAATGTGCACTTCAGTCACTTGGTCCTTCGAGCTCCAAGCGAACTGCACGTTGCGAAAACAGTCGAGCTTGTCTTGGAAACTAAGCAGAAAGGTCTTCTTGGCCAAGACGCGGGATCAATGTGGAAGAAGTGCAAAGATCTTCTGATTCTTGCACTTCAGTTGGCCATGCTCCGCAGAAAGATCAAGGTCGGGCTAAGTCGGGGTCGGCCCTGAGAGCCTTTTCTTGTTGGAACCAAAGGTTGGCTACAATTCAATCATGGGAGCTCTCGCAGCCCGCATTGTGGCAGTCGCAGGGAGTAAAAAGTGAAAAACTACTCACCACTCTTTAAAATTCAGGGTACCAAAGGTATCGATTCGAGGATCACTTGAAGGGACCTTAGCTACCTTGGAGGAAAGCTTGATTAACGATGCTGAGGAAGTGTGGCACCCTGTCCAGCTTGATTGGGCAGACTTGGCCTTCATAGTTAATATATAGCCAATTCGCCAGTGCAGAGGTTCGAGAGGAGATATTTAAGGGCTGCAGCAAGTTCTTTGCCCGTGCTGATTCGGACTTTGCGGAAATGCAGGGACAAGCAGAAGCTCAAGCAACAGAGAAGGTCACACGATACATCCCATACGTGCATGAGGAGTTTCTCCTGGTACATCATCATCACACTACTGGCCAAAACGCCAACTTCTCTGACAGCATCTGTGCCCAATCTGCCCCAAGACTTGGCGCTTGAACTATTGGCAGGTCTTACTTTGAAGTTATGAGGTCGCTTTTCATGTTCTCCCTTCAGTTGGTGCTCCAGTGCAGATACTCCTTGGGCTGACTGTAGGAACAGGTGGGACCATTGGAAGTTGTCAGCGCAATTGTCGAATGAACGGGTGGCAGATGAGAATCGGCAAGTTGCTATTCGCGGGAGACAGGATGGAAAGATGACAAAGCGGAGTTTGATATGTTTGACAGCTGCATTGTGCTTTAGTTTTCATCAGACGATCATTTGCACCGCGTGGTAGGTCCATGTGACCATTTTGCGGCGTGGCAAAGAGGCATTCTTCTAACAATGATCACAGGCTTCAGAAAGAGCAGTACATCTTGTGGATATGTTTGCAACTCGCGCATCGCAACAGCTCAAGGTTCCAAGAAAGTCAAGAAAAACACATTCTACATTGTACTTTGTGTGCATTTCATTTAAACATTTTCAGACATATTAAGACATGATACAGTGTGACTTCATGTGGCTTCCACTCTATGGTCGCTTTGTTTGTGAGAGATGAAGGTTATGAAGCAGAATGGCAACTTTCCTTGCTTTGCACTCTGCAACTCTGCACTTACTCCAAACCTTTGGCACTTGGAATTGCTTCTTCTGAGTGGGCGTTGCTTCTGTCAAATGCACCGTGCCAGGGCTGACAGTGTAGTGAGAAGACCGCGCTTAGCCGGTTGCCAACTTTTCTGCTAGGATCCAAGAATCGAGGAGATCTTTCTACTGTATTATATCATAATTTACACTGTACATTACTGGACAGCTTGGATTTGAAAGCAGAAGTTGGTACAGAACTATCTCCACTTCCTTCCATGGCAGCCGTTCAGTGCAAGAAACCTACCCACCGCGGGCATCCCTGCAGCAATTCATCCAAGTTCTGAGAGTGGGAAACAGACTTGTCATGCCTGTAATGACTGGTCTATGGTCGATGTTCTGATATGTCCATACTTTTCCATTTCTTTCCATGTCCTTTTCTATTTCCATGTCTTTTTCAATTTCCATCTCCTTTTCTATTTCCATGTCTTTTTCTATTTCCATGTCTTTCTCTAATTCTATTTCCATGTCTTTTTCTATTTCCATGTCTTTCTCTAATTCTATTTCCATGTCTTTTTCTATTTCCATTTCTTTTCATTTCCTTCTCCATTTCCTTTTCCACCTTCATTTCTTTCCATTTCTGTTCCATTTCCATTTCTTTCCATTTCTTGCATTTCACTTGCATTTCTTTCCAGTCCATTTACATTTCTTTCCATTTCCATTTCTTTTTCTATTTCCATGTCTTTTTCAATTTCCATCTCCTTTTCTATTTCCATGTCTTTTTCTATTTCCATGTCTTTTCTATTTGCATACCTTTTTCTATATACATGTCTTTTCTATTTACATGTTTTTTTCTATTTCAATTTCTTTTCATTTCCTTCTCCATTTCATTTTCCACCTTCATTTCTTTCCATTTCCGTTCCATTTCGTCCCATTTCCATTTCTTTCCATTTCTTGCATTTCACTTGCATTTCTTTCCAGTCCATTTACATTTCTTTCCATTCCATTTCTTTTTCTATTTCCATGTGTTTTTCTGTGTCTTTTTCTATTTACATGTCTTTTTCTATTTCCATGTCTTTTTCTATTTCCATTTCCTTCTCCATGTCCTTTTCCACCTTAATTTCTTTCTATTTCTTTTCATTTATTCCATTTCTGTCGATTTCTTTCCATTTCCTTCCAATTCCATTTTCATTTCTTTCCATTTCTTTTCCATTTCGTCCCATTTCCATTTCTTTCCATGTCCATTTCGGTTTCTTTCCATTTCTTTTCAATTCTTACCATTTCCATTTCTGCCCATTTCCATTCCATTTCCATTCCTTTTCCATTTCTTTTTCACTTCCATTTGCATTTCTTGAACATTTCTTTAACATTTCTTTCCATTTTTTTTCCCACGTCTTTTCCCTTTCCATTTCTTTCCATTTCTTTTCCATCTGCATTTTTTTCATTCCCGTTTCTTGCCGCTTCCATGTCTTTCCATTTCCGTGTGTTTTCATTTTCATTCCATGTTTAATCTAATGTATATTATATATATATTTCTATTTCTTTCCATTTCGTTCAATTTCTTTCCATTTCCATGCCTTTCCATTTTTGCATTCCATCTCTTGCCACTGCCATTTCCAGTTCCATTTCTTTCCATTTCGTCCGGTTTTCATTTTTTTGCATTTCGTTTCATTTCCATTTCTTTCCATTTCTTTCCATTTCCGGCTCTTCTCATTTCCATTTCTTTCCATTTCCGTTTCTTTCCATTTCTATTTCTTTCCATTTCCGTTTCTTTCTATTGCCATTTCTTTCCATTTCTTTTCATGTTCATTTGCATGTCTTTCCATTTTTCCATTTTCATCTCTTGCCTTTTCCATTTGTTTTCATGTCCATTTCTTTTCTATTTTGATTCTTCTTTCCCGTTCCATTTCTTTCCATTTCTTTCTTTTCGTATCTTTTTATTTCTTTCCAGTTCCATTTCCATTTCTTTCCATTTCCGTTTCCATTTCGTTGCATTTTCCATTTTTCCATGTCCATTTTATTCTATTTCCGTTTCTTTCTATTTTTTCCATTTGGTTCCATTTCCATATCTTTCCATTTATTGTACCTTGATCGACTTTCCAATTGTATTTTGGTTCAAAGGGACGTTGACTTGTCTTGTCCTCTCTATCGCATCCTATCGAAATCCATCTATCCATCTATCCATCTATCCGTCTATCCATTTATCCATCAATTCATCCATCCATCCATCCATCCATCCATCCGTCCATCCACTGAAACAACAATCAATCCCTCCCGGTTCCCTCTATCATTCTATGTCCTACATCCGATGTAGCTTTTGCCGCAGACCCAGATTTAGACTAGATAATTTGGACATGGTGTACTCCCTTTGCCACTTGCACATGTATTGTGACCAACCGCAAGACACTTATTCATGCACTAGCAACTTTGAAGAAGATAGGCCCAGCGTATTTGTTTTTCTCTTGGAACTGATGGCTGCGCGCATTTCCGACGGTGGAGTCAGCGAACGAAATACATGTTGCAAAACGGAAAAATGGGTCAAATTGCTCTCAGGGTGCCCCAAAGTTTACGACATCCTTGCACTTACTATAGTCTGAGCCTGTAGGAACCCGGAGGTGTTCGGGTACTTCTTTGACAGGCTTCCTCTCTGCCAAGTCTCTGCAGTTCTTGCACTGGTTTGGGAAGGTGTCCACTGCGCCACGTCCCAGCTGGTCCAAGCTTCTCGTGCTGTATTGTTTGCTGATGGATCTTGCTTGAATCTGATGTCGAGTTTCCTTGCTTTGAGGGCGGCATGAAAACTGCTGAGCTAAATTGTAAATGTTACAACATGTCACTGTCAGAGCATGATGCCCAGGACCTCAACATTCTCTGGAGCCACACTTGACTTGCCTCGCCTCGGGTTCAAGAAGTACAAATGTGTCACAGTCCAAAGACTTCTTCTACTCAAAGTAGTTGGCCAAGCTTCAGCCAAGCTTCAGCAACTCTTTGGTAAAGGTGGTGCGTAGTGATTAAATTATTCAGACCATATGAACTTAGCGAGTTGATCAATCTGGGGCAACTCTGGGGCAAATCTTGCGCACATTTTCTTCAGCCGCATCTGGCCATGGGAGTCGGCTGGGAGGATGACAAGCGTGCAGCCGTGACTTATGGCTTGGAACCGTTGCCAAGCAGAAATGCGGGAGGGCCAACCTGAGCTGCTAAGGTCATCCTATGATCGTATTGTGCTGAATTGTGCTGAATACCCGTGGTAACTACTTTGGAAGCAGACAGGTGCTGCCTTCTTCGGGCAGGAAGGGTCTTTACTGGCAAAGCCAAGAAGGTTCAACCCCTGCGAGTATCAATCATCACGTTCACATCGGAGAGGATTCAAGAGGGGTTCAAAGATGCCAATTGAGACAGATGCCTTTGCCGATGGAAAGTGAAGACTCCGCTCTGCTTGAAATCCATCAAATTTACCTTGGTCTATCTGTAAGTAGCTTGCCCATGCAAAATTAAGTTTGCATTCAGAGGCAAAAGTAGATTTTGAACGCCTCAAGGTTTGAATTTGATCCTGGCCCTCAACCTTCTCAGGAGCTAGGGCAGCTCCTGACTCTCTTGCGTAGATTCGGTGGTGCTAGACTTGATGTGCACTGTTGGCAAAACTTCATATCAAATTTTGCCACTTGTCAGTATTCTCAGCATTCTCAGGTGCCTTTAATTTACATCATCGTAGCAGTACTGTCTCATGCCTTATTTTTTTGATTTGGACCAAAGGACAGGAGGTGCATTTGTCTTTTCGATTTGTCGTTTTAGGCATCCAACAGGGCAGGGTCCGCTTTTACTTCTGACATATTCCGACATCTTCAAACACATTTCCAGGAAGACCTGACGCGTGATGCGGAGATGCGAGTTCGATCTGATAAACGTTTTCGAGAGGCATCTAGGGAATCTAGGGGTCCGGTGCTTTTTCTGGTTGGAAGAGTGTGGCAACGGAGGGGTTACCAGAAACTTCTGTATACTTGGAGCGTATGTTGCTTGGTTGTGATTTGGAAGCTTGAAACGCTATGAAGAGATTGGAGCCTTGCTGTGGAACTTTTCGAATTTCTTCGGGGTCTTAATCCTCCAGATGATTGAACAGTTCTGAACCTCAGCTTATTCGCGCTTAGCTTGGTGCAGCTGGTATGCCATACTGCTGATATGCTCCAGTCCATTCCAGTCCCGCGTTCATGAAATTTCCAACTTTCTTGGTCAACTCAAACCACTCCTGGGGAAGTTGTCCCTGCTGAAGCTTTTGAAGCAGTTTGAGTCTCCATGTAATCATGTATCTTGGATCCGTGGTGGACACTTTGGCTGTTTGCTGGTGTAATAAACTTTCTTTTTTGCCAAACCTTTGGCGATTGTTTTTTACATGTCAAAGACCCCATTTTGCTTTCAAAAGATGAGCCTGGCCAGTAAACTGTCAGGCGCTTTGCAAGGAGAAGGCTGCAATCACAGCAGTTCTGCAAACTTGTCTTGAGAAGGCGGCATTCGTGGGACTTGTCAAAGGGACTTGTCGTGACTTGTCCGGAATCCTCGTTGGATTTTGAGATATTCGGCATTCTTGCACAAAAAAATGTCACATTGAGTCGGAATCAGTTCCATTGGGAGAGGTCAATGGCCAGCTTGAAAGGGGCGAGGAGATTTGCCAGAAGGTGACTTGCTTTCGAACAGGGTTGGAAAGCAGGATGCCATGCTTCGCCAGAGGATGTCAAGGGCAAATATGAAAAGGAGCCTTTTGACAAGCCTACCCCTGATGAAGTGTGTGTGATCCCGTCACGTTTTTGATGGGAGCCATAGAGACTGAACATAACATTGAAATGAGGGGGTTATATCCACGAGTCATGTTGCGCAACCACGATAAAAAGTAATCAAAACACGGCTACTTCAATCTGTCCACATTGAAACAGCATTCTGATATATTCCGATCGGTCTGGCTGAGTTTGGCAACGTGAGTATTTTGAAGTCTGAGGCTCACTTCCCTCTTTTGAACCCGCGGGACTTTGACGACTTGGAGTCCTTTGCGCGTCATGACCACTTTGCCGTGGACTTGCGAGTGGACAAGGTCTGCGACGGCACCAGTGTCACTAAAAGGATCTGAAAGGTGGCAACCAGATTCAAAACTCAAACCATTGTCGAAATCAAATGTCTTGCAAGGTCTTGCAGTCTTGCTTCAGATTGGCTCTCCACCAAGGGGACAAGCCACTAACATAGTCATCGGGGGTTCAGTAGGGCAAATACTAGACACGGGGAAAGCGCTGGTCAAGTCAACCTTCTATATGCATGTATTGTAGTGTATTGTGTTGCGTTGTGTTGTGTTGTAATTCTACTTGTAATTGTAACTGTAACTGTATTGTATTGTATTATATTGTGTTGTATTGTGTTCTATTGTATTGTATTGTATTGTATTGTATTGCATTGTATTGTATTGTATTCCAGTCACGAAAGGTAGCGTCAGCTACCTGAGTTCTCCGTGCTTCAGCCCAATCATTGGGGTACTGCGAGGCTAGCCCAGCCGAAATGAAGGACATTAAGGATTTTAAAGGAGATTTCAATTGTAAGGCCCGCCCTTGAAATGGTCGCGGGCTCAAACCCCAGGGGTGGCATGCCGGCAGGGGTAGGATATGACGCAGCTATGGCATGTGATTTTGGTCTGCTTTATGTCATGAAAATGATTGAATCAGCAGCAGGGCATGTGAACTTCTTCTGGGGTGGCCTCCGCAATTCTTCGAACAGTCTGCATCCACAATGTTCAATACTTCCAAGGCTGATGGCCCAAATTCTTTGCACAAACTTCGCATCATGGCCTGCAAATGGAAGAAGCAACCCGGCCTCACCTCAAGACTCGCTTTCCTGTGCACGATGCTGAAGAACATTTGCCAACGCCTGTCACAGAAATTCAACCCAGATGCCGCCTAGCGCTCTTACATGCATTCAACACCTCGGCTATTCGAAGCTAGCTTTGCGTCTTCGACTACAGAGGCAAGAAACCACAGGTGCAGGAGACCTTGATCATGGAAGAGAAAGGGGTTTTAAATAAATTGAACTTTAGACATCCGTAGGTGGAGAAACTGTATCCTCTGTCTTCCGCATCTACGAAATCTAAGCTACTACACCCCGAGACTGCAAAGCAACGGAGCATATAAAGTGATGACCAGCTTCTGTGCGCACGCTATCAGATGGTACCTTCCTCAACCCCCAGCCTGTGCCGGCGAGTGAATTGTTCCGGCGCACGAAGATAAAGAGAGCGGGGGGCTGCGGGAGTGTGCTCTTTTCTTGTTTTCTACCAGTACGTTGTTGATGCCGATTCTTTGTAAACATCATCATGCCTAATGCATCGGTCAAAATTCTCATCCACATGAAGGTGCCAGTGGCCAAAAAAATAGTCAGCAGGAGGGAGACAGTATTGAGAGATTGCTACACTGCTACACATTAGTAAGCTAAACTATATTGAAACACTGCGCGTGCAACCCTTTAACCACCCATGCTAATTATGAGGCGTTCATCCACAAGATATAGCGTTCCCATGGCAGAAGCGCACCTCCCCTTGAAATGGTCGCGGGCTCAAACCCCAGGGTGGCATGCCGGCAGGGGTAGGATATGACGCAGCTATGGCATGTGATTTTGGTCTGCTCTATGTCATGAAAATGATTGAATCAGCAGCAGGGCATGTGAACTTCTTCTGGGGCGGCCTCCGCAATTCTTCGAACAGTCTGCATCCACAATGTTCAATACTTCCAAGGCTGATGGCCCAAATTCTTTGCACAAACTTCGCATCATGGCCTGCAAATGGAAGAAGCAACCCGGCCTCACCTCAAGACTCGCTTTCCTGTGCACGATGCCGAAGAACATTTGCCAACGCCTGTCACAGAAATTCAACCCAGATGCCGCCTAGCGCTCTTACATGCATTCAACACCTCGGCTATTCGAAACTAGCTTTGCGTCTTCGACTACAGAGGCAAGAAACCACAGGTGCAGGAGACCTTGATCATGGAAGAGAAAGGGGTTTTAAATAAATGGAACTTTAGACACCCGTAGGTGGAGAAACTGTATCCTCTGTCTTCCGCATCTGCGAAATCTAAGCTGCTACACCCTGAGACTGCAAAGCAACGGAACATGTAAAGTGATGACCAGCTTCTGTGCGCACACTATCAGATGGTACCTTCCTCAACCCCCAGCCTGTGCCGGCGAGTGAATTGTTTCCGGCGCACGAAGATAAAGAGAGCGGGGGGCTGCGGGAGTGTGCTCTTTTCTTGTTTTCTACCAGTACGTTGTTGATGCCGATTCTTTGTAAACATCATCATGCCTAATGCATCGGTCAAAATTCTCATCCACATGAAGGTGCCAGTGGGCAAAAAAATAGTCAGCAGGAGGGAGACAGTATTGAGAGATTGCTACACTGCTACACATTAGTAAGCTAAACTATATTGAAACACTGCGCGTGCAACCCTTTAACCACCCATGCTAATTATGAGGCGTTCATCCACAAGATATAGCGTTCCCTTGGCAGAAGCGCACCTCCCCTTGAAATGGTCGCGGGCTCAAACCCCAGGGTGGCATGCCGGCAGGGGTAGGATATGACGCAGCTATGGCATGTGATTTTGGTCTGCTCTATGTCATGAAAATGATTGAATCAGCAGCAGGGCATGTGAACTTCTTCTTGTGCGGCCTCCGCAATTCTTCGAACAGTCTGCATCCACAATGTTCAATACTTCCAAGGCTGATGGCCCAAATTCTTTGCACAAACTTCGCATCATGGCCTGCAAATGGAAGAAGCAACCCGGCCTCACCTCAAGACTCGCTTTCCTGCGCACGATGCCGAAGAACATCTGCCAACGCCTGTCACAGAAATTCAACCCAGATGCCGCCTAGCGCTCTTACATGCATTCAACACCTCGGCTATTCGAAACTAGCTTTGCGTCTTCGACTACAGAGGCAAGAAGCCACAGGTGCAGGAGACCTTGGTCATGGAAGAGAAAGGGGTTTTAAATAAATGGAACTTTAGACATCCGTAGGTGGAGAAACTGTATCCTCTGTCTTCCGCATCTACATAATCTAAGCTACTATACCCTGAGACTGCAAAGCAACGGAACATGTAAAGTGAGGTGCAGCTTATGTGCGCACGCTATCAGATGGTACCTTCCTCAACCCCCAGCCTGTGCCGGCGAGTGAATTGCTTCCGGCGCACGAAGATAAAGAGAGCGGGGGGCTGCGGGAGTGTGCTCTTTTCTTGTTTTCTACCAGTACGTTGTTGATGCCGATTCTTTATAAACATCATCATGCCTAATGCATCGGTCAAAATTCTCATCCACATGGAAATGCTACCGGCCAAAAAATCAGTAAAAACTACAAAATAGTCAGTGGGAGGGAGACACCCATGCAAATTATGAGGCATGCACCTGAAAGATATGGTGTTCCCTTGGTTAGAGTGATGTCTTTATTAGTGATTTTTTTATTTTTTTTTTATTCCTTTTATTTTTTTTTTTCATCTTTTTTCCTGAGCCTGATTTGTCTCTTTGTTTCGCTTTTATTTAGGTTGTTGGCTTTGACTGTATTTCTCTTTATTAGTGATTTTTCTACAGGTTAAGGTTTGAAAGGCTAATTCTGTGGTTTGTTATTAACTTTAAACTAAGTCATGCGCAGACAGGCTCCACTCCCACAGTCCTTGTTCTGAAATAGACCAGAATGACTTTATTTGTACACACCATGGACCTTTCAATGAACAAGAACCAGAGCGCCTATATTTTAATTACAGGGGCGAACTGGAAGAAACATCTGTTGAACATGGAAGGCAAGCAGGTTATTGTACACTGCAGCAGCCCAAGTATGGTTGACTAAACCCCAAACATAAATGGTACGAGACGGGTTGCCGAAACTCCCACAAGAAACGTGCAAAGTGCAACCTTCATGATAGGATGCCGTGCTCGGGGGTGCGACAGTAGCCTCACAGTGGCCTGCTGCTAGCTTGACAGGACCAAATGAAAGCAATCACAGCGACAAAAGCATTCCAGACATGACATGACATTTCAAAGAACACGAAATATCGCACCCACAGTTGGCGTAGGACCCAGGACCCTCTTCAAAATTAGCATAGACATGCAAGTAAAGCAAAACATTTTCCACCTCTTTGCCACATCCTGGGCATCACTTGTTAACGGCTGCGCCGGGGTCATGCGTGAACTGCGCCTTCCATTCCCTGCGCTGACAACTGATGAATTTAGACTTTCAAGTTGATGACCGGTACCCACCGAGTAGATGGCCGCGTGCGGGCGCATGAGTGGCATCACACCAGAGACAAAAAGCAGCACGGTTTCGTCTTGCATTTCATGCCTCTTTCCACCCAAGCAAGTCCCAGCTGTCCTCCTACACCGAACCTACCTTTCGTCCGCCTCTGCTTGCTCTCAAGTATTGATGTTTTTATGTATGTATGTATGTATGTATGTAGGTAAGTAGGTAGGTCGGTAGGTGCATGTTATGATCCACTCCCTTCAACCCTGTAATATTGGGGGGGGTTAAGGCAAGAAAAAATTGAGAAACATGTCGCCTGACCACGTGGTGGGGGGGGTCCTCCGGATGCCAGACTTTAGCCTAGATATGTTAATTGTGTACACATCGATCAAAAAGCAAAGCGCGCATGACCTCTGCGAACTCCTGCCCCTGGCCTTTGAAGATATGCAGAAACTGAATCCTACTGCTGCAATGGAATTTCTGGGGGGGTGGCTTCTAGAGCTGTAAAATACAATGGTTTTGCATCTCCCCTTTTAAAAATTCACAAGCAAAGCTTGGGGAGAGAAAAAAGCAGGAAAATGCGTGCTTCAGCCGGTTTGCAGGTACCTGACCACATCCACAGGTGCCCGTTGATGCATAACTGACAGCGCAAAGATTTGTCATTGCCTTTTTCTACCGTAGATAATCAGAAATTTCTAGCTGAAATATTTCTAGGTGTACGGGGGTGGGGAACCCACCAAATTTGAAATATTTCAGTGCTTACCCCCCCACCCCCTCAACTACTTAAGGTCTAGAAGGCCCCCCCCCTCTAGGGGCTAGGGTCTAGGGGTCTAGACTGATAATTAGGGCATTGTAGACCTATCCAAGTGATACCATTCTAGACCCTTGCAATTTGGAGGTTCTGAAGCCAGCCAAATATGACATTTAAAATCATACCATTTTAGGGCCCCACTGTCAGGAAGTCATATTTTTTTGGTTCACCCCACATCCCTAGCAACACAGATTGGAAGCAAAAACAAAGGGATTCTGAAAGAGAGGTTCTGGAACAGGTTTACTTTTTCGACCAATCTTTTTCAAATCTATCATCCTCCGTCCTTTTGCATCCCAGAAACTGTTACGCAATTCATCATCAGGCTGAGGAGTCTGATAATTCAGGGTCGGACTGATCTTTTTTTAGGAGGAATTTCTTTTTTGAAAGCAATTTGGAACAGTTTTGAACCACCAGTTTTTCGTTGTGTCCCTGACCCGGTTGGATGTGATAGAATGGAGATCAGACATACCCTCAAAATAGAGGTGCCTAGAAATGCCGTTGAGGGTTCTAAAATCATAGAGGGTATGATTTTAGAATCCTGAGAGGCTATCAAATTAGAACCTTGAAAGTATATGAGCCCTGTTGTGGCACAAATTGATTTCAACAGACCACAAGAAAAGGGCATTGATTTGGAGCGCAGAGAAAGAAAACAAGTCGCGATGAGGTATCTGCACAAAGGTGCACAACATGTGTGGAATTAGCATCCCCGGTTTTGGTCGATCAAGATTTCCATTTTCAAAACTAGGTGATTTCGATGCTGCTTGGTTTGAAAATCACCCGAAAACAAGGTAAAACCATGAGCAACCTGCAGCAATGTGCAACAACAAAGGTATTGAACTAATATCCGGCAACATCTTCAGTTGAATTACCATGACATTCACTGCAGCATGGTCTGGCATTACCTCCAACCTCCCACATATGCCAGTTTGGTTTGGAAGGCGCAAATGCCAGGCCAAGTTGTGATGAGCAACCTGCAGTGACTTGCTTCCAGCCACCACCTCCACTCTTTAGATACCAAAACTTGTGGTCCAACCAAGGCGCTTGGGGGAGATACAGGGTCTATCATCATTTTCCCCCAGGTCAATGCGTTTCAAAATGTTTTCCAAGCTTGGAGGGAACCATTCCAGACCCACAGGTGCTGACCGTTGGCCAGCCATAACCCAACTTAGCCTTCCTTTGACACCTCTTCTACTTCTACATCCCTTCGCACGTTTGTTTTCATTTATCATCTCCATTCTGTAGATACCAAAGCTTTTGGTCCAACCAAGGCGTTTGGAAAAAATGCAGGGTCTATCATGATTTTCGCCAGGTCAATGTGTTTCATTTTTTTAAAGCTTGGCGGAAACCATTCCAGACCCACAGGTGCTGACATGTGGCCAGCCATAACCCAACCTAACCCAACTTAACCCAACTTAACCTTCCTTTGACACCTCTACTTCTACATCCCTTTGCACATGTGTTTTCATCCATCATCCCCATTCTGTAGATACCAAAACCCGTGGTCCAACCAAGGCGATTGAAAGAAACACGAGGTCTATCATCATTTTCCCCAGGTCAATGCGTTTCAAAATGTGTTGAAAGCTTGGAGGGAACCATTCTAGACTCACAGGTGCTGATATGTGACCAGTCATATTCCAACCTAGCCATGCTTTAACACATCTTCTACAGTCTATATCTTTTGCATCCTTTTTGTTACCCACCATCTCCTTTCTTTTGATAGCAACACACCTGATAAAGAACTTTCGGAGAACAAAGAAAAAGGAGAGACTGACAACTCAGTAAATTTTGAGACTGGTCATGGTCCAGTCGAATTTTTCTTTTCAAAAGCGATGATCTTTCACACCACTTGCCAAAACAAGGTGAGGGCACGGTGGTTTCAATAGATGACTGAACGACGCAATCTTTGTGGGGAAACGTACAGGTTGCAATCCAACTTTGCATCTATCCCGACGTTGCTTAAAAAATTGTTCTGCAGTTCTGCATATATTATCCGGAAAAGGTGGGCCTGACGCAGCCTAGGAAAAAAAAACGCAAAAGTAGAAAATCTAAAGCATTGCGATAACCTGAACCGCGCAATGCGTGTGTGAGGGCAAAAACAATGTGCAAATGAAACGCAGCATGGGTTAAAAACAAAACAGAAGAAGACATGTCATTTTTCAATAATTTTACGGCTTGCAGGAACACGATTTTAGAACCCCACCATGCGTAGACTTTGGGGTTCTATTCTGCTCTCTCCGTTGAGGGATGTCAAAAGCCATGGGTTTTTTGAAATCTTGTTTGATCTTGAGGGTATGCTCAAACTGAAGAGTCTTGTCGCTTGGGATTGCGAAACGCCCACCGTGGCACATGCAAAAATGAGATGCGTTCGGTGCACATGAAAAGTTGGATTTTTTGGGGCGTATGTAGAGACAGTGGGAAATCCAGAGTGGACCTTAAATACCGGTCCAGCCTTAAGGTCTGAATGAAGGAAAAGTAATTCCCCACATTTGGGGTCTACATAGGAGTAAACCCCCCCTCCCTAGTAGCTGAGTGTATTTAAAGGGGGGATATGTTATGTATGTTATGTATGGTATCTATGGTATGTATGGTATGTATGGTATGTATGTTATGTATGTTATGCATGTATGTATGTTATGTATGTTATGCATGTTATGTATGTATGCTGTGTGTTTTATGTGGCATGTATGTTATGTATGTTGTGTATGTGTTAGTGTAATGCAATGTACAATGTAATGTAATGCAATGCAATGTAATGCAATGTATGCATGTTCCATTGCCATTCTGCATCTATATATATATATATATTATGTGTATATATTTATATACACATAATATATATATATATATATTATATGCAGTATGCATCTTTTTTGGCGCTAGTAGGAAGAGTTGAGTTGTCAACTAGCATGCCTGTGTGCTTAAAACGCACCAAACATGACAACCACGACTCCAAACGGTTTCACCCGGGTCTCCAAACTAGTAAGCAGACAAACTTGCATCGAGTGTGAACCACTTTTGAAAGCATTGCATCTCAAATAAAGCCTGAGAAAGTCAAGCCTGAGGGTCCGGGAAATTCAGCATTTCATAGCATCTCCGCAGTCACATTTGGCAGGTAGATGAAGCATTGCAGAAGCTGGTGAGCAGTTTACTTGGCATTGTGACGGGCTTAGCAATATCTTCAGTGAAGGCAACGCAGGAATCTTTGGCAGTCCCAAGGCCTTCGGGGTGGGACACGGGGATCGCCACAAACGTAACTCTTAACATAGTGATAAAATATTGATAAAAACAATGTCATCCCAATAGTTTGTTGGAACGTAGGCCTGGTCAGAGTTCGGCTATTCTTTAAGGTTTCTATTGGGTCACTAATACTGCAGGTTTTGAGCATCATATCATATCTTATCCTTCCTCTCCTTTGAGCTTTGCTACTGCAAGACCTTGGGCCGAGACTGTTGCTTTTGAAAGTGCGAGGTTGCCTGATAGGTTGCCTGACATTGTCTGATGTTGTCTGATGTCATCTCTGCATTTCTTTACTGAGTATTGAATGGATCGGCATGTAGTTGGCTGGGCGCGCGTAGAAGGCTGCGTAAGGAAACATTGTTTTTGTCTTATCACGTGGCTGCCGTCACAGCAGGAACGATTTTTTGTAAAATTTGAGCCTCTCGACGCCACGAAGCGCATTTTTTCTTGTTTTTCTTCTGTTTGGGGGGTTGGGTGGAGTGGGGGCGCAACAACGTTCCTTGACGCGTGCATACATGTTGCCATGTTAGACGTGTGGGGGGGTTGCGGTGGGGTGAGGGTAATGACATTCCTATGCTACGCTCTGAACTTCTCAAGTAGCTTGTAACACGTACTTGATACTACGCTCTGAACTTCTCTAAGTAACTTGTACCACGTACTTGGTGCTACGCTCTCAACTTTCTCAAGTAACTTGTACCACGTACTTGATGCTACGCTCTGAACTTTCTCGAGTAACTTGTACAACGTACTTGATGCGAAAGATAGAAAACAAAAAGCGCATGCCATACGCCGCTGCGCTGACCAAGACAACACCTTAAAATGTCTCAAGTGAAGTAGCTTTTTTGGATGCCACAAAAGGGACCACAAAGATGATAGCATGCAACGCTAAACTACATGTACATTTTGAATGACCTGCGTCGGGATTTTACCACGTCACCATTGATCAAAGTACATAGAGTCAACATGATGATGCACGAAACCATACGGCCATCTATCAGCGCCGGACCATGTAGTTAGGCAGCTCTTTAGTACCCCTTTCCACAAGAAAATGTCCTGAGTTGTGTTCTCTGAGCGGTTTGATCGGTCCATGGTCAGGTTGTCACTCTTACAAAAAGGGTCCAGGGTTCGGCTTTTGAGGGAGGTGCATGACACCATAGGGAAATCTATTTTTTGTTCTCGCAGGGAAGAACCTTGCACAATTTTGTAGCCTTTACTAAAGTTGTTTGCTCAAAACCACAGAAACCGCCACAGGGACTCGCGCATCAACAAGATCTTGTCCAGTCCGCTTGTCCTGCCACTTTGTTGCTGAGGTCTGGACAAACGTCCATGTTGAAACTTGGCCTTGTTGCTGTTCGAAATCATTTTGCACAGTCCTAAAGCGTCGCACTTTTTAGGTATTTATTCGCTCATGGATGGGGAGGATTGATCTTTATTTGGTCAATTGGTCTCTGCAAGGTCCCAACACTTTTTCCCCCTTCCCAGCGTTTCTTCTACCAAGGAGAACCAGAGCAAAGCCAAGTCTTTGGATCTTTTCTGTCAGGCTGGAAGATGCAGAGACATTGGAGTCTCCGTTTCCTCCCCGTGCAGTATCCCATGCAGTGATCGTTCAGGCATTGCAAGAACGCATGGAGACATTGGAGTACCACCTGAAAGATCGCTCGAAACAATTGTCCAACTGCAGGTGCCCCATTGCGCTTCCTGCTTTCACATGCTTTCGCTCAAGAAGTAAAGCTGCTTAAGCTTCATGCAGAACCCTTTGGCGAGCTGATAGTGTCCAAACATGCCATTTCAGTGTCTGAAATCCTAGCATGGCTTTTTTGCTCCGTATGTTGAAGATGGTGATAATGCCTCACTCCTCGCTAAGTCTGCAGTGTTCTCTGTCACAGTGAGGCACGCATACTTTCTCGAGATCACCCACTTGCGTAGCCTGGGCAGCAGTAAATCAGGAAGCAACGCCAACAAGCTTGGACAGTGAGTAAATATGAAAAAAATATATCTGATTCTATCTTCACTTGATGCATGTGGGTATAATCAATGCTTTGCTTGTGGCATGGCCTTGTGAGGGTACTAGATAAGGTGTTTGCAGCAAAGACCCATCCCCAATGTGGGTTTTGAACTGTGCTCCTATTCGCTTGACAGGAAACCAGCTGTATATCAAGAGCCAATCTGACGATGAGAACTTTGAGCCGGTGGAGGCTTATTTCTTTGACCCGACAGAGTATTTGGAGGAGGACGCTGTCTCAAGCATCAAGACATGAGACCTGATCACTGCACAACGCGTCCCACCATTGGCAGAGAATGAATCGCGGAGATCCATGCCACTGTATTCGATCTTCGTAGATCTTCAACGTTCTGACCAATGAAGGAGTTGCGTCAGCAATTGAACGACAAGATCACCTTGAGTGTGCCCGGGAAGTTAACTCAACAAGATTCACGATTGTTTTCTCATTTTGCATCCCAGCAAGAGGCATGTGTAGAAGCTATGGATCTATTGCATGGACGTGATGAATTGTTGTTTGATGTTGCTTGTCTTTGTATGTGGAGAGGAGCCAAATACCATGTGAAACTAAGTTCTACGGGCACGAAATGGAAGGGTTGTACAAGCAATCAAACACAAATACGCAAACACACACACAAAACATAAAACACACACACAGACACACAGAAACACAGAAACAGAGAAAGACAGAAAGACACACACACACACATAAAAAAAAAATCACAAATACAAAAACACAAAGACTCAAAAACACAACCACAAAAACACAAACATAAAAATACAAGAGCAGGCAAACACGCAAACACAGAAACACACACACACACGCACACAAATCACACAAGCAAACACACAAACAAACAAACACAATTAAATAAACACAAATAAAAAACAAATAAACACAAACAAATCAACACAAACAAATCAACACAAACAAACAAAGAAACAAACAAAAAAAACAAAGAGAAAAAAACCAAGAAACACAGAAACACAGAAAACCAAAAGATCAAAGAATCAAAGAAACAAAAAACACAAGACAAAGAAACCAAGAAACCAAGAAACACAGAAACACAGAAAACCAAAACAATCAAAAAACAACAAAACAAAAAACAAAGAAACACAGAAAAACACAAAGAAACACAAAGAAACACAAGGAAACACAAACAAACAAACATCAACACACAAACACAAACACAAAAACAGAAACACAGAAACACAGAAACACAGAAACACACATACACATACACAGAAACACACACACAGAAACACACACACAGAAACACACACACACAGAGACACACACACAGACACACACACACAGACACACACACACACAGAAACACACACACACACAAGCCCCTGAGTGGTCAAGTAGCGAGGAGCTACAGGGTGGGGCGCTCGATCCGTTCTTTCTGGGGCGCTCGTTTCGTTCCTTTCCCTTCGGCCATTTCTCTAGCGGTGCTGAGCTTCTGGACAACTGATTGGATTTCTCTGTGCATTCTTTTGGGCCCGATTTTGATCAGTGGAAGACCGTACAACTGTTCTGAGTTCCAAGCAGACACAAGCAGGGGTCGGCTCCCTATTGATTTGATTCTGGCCGATTGGACAGCGCTACAGCTTTTCTACAAATTTTATTTCTTGGGTTTGCACGGTCAATACAACAGGTTTGCTTGACGCTTGACGGTTGGAACACCCGCACTGTGGGGTAGCAGGCTCCCATCCAACTCTGGCTGGCCTGGGTGGTTCCAACAACAGCGCAGTGGATTGCCAGTCTACCTTTTGCACCACAACACTGATTGAGACAGTGCGAGACAACAGGTGCAGGTGCCAACGGCCCAAGCACTAAGACCAATCACTTTGTGTGGATCCTTTTCATCTTCTTGCAGACGGAAGTCAGACATACATCTACTCCACAAACTCTTGAAGCTGGATTGCAAGCTCACACAGCAAGACCGCAGCCGTGCATTGTGCTGTGCCACTACAACAGTGACATTGCACACTGATTTTGGATTGGCACAAAAACCGCCTGCTCCCTGAGCACGTCTTGGCCTCACAAGCAATCCTTCGATACAGCATCTAGGTTCAAAGGCGTATACAGTGTTCCCATCGTTGCCGACGTGCCATCGACTCCATTGTATACCTTCTGACTCTGCGGCGACCCATTGCCTGCAGCACGGCCTATTGAAGATCCAAAACTAGCCCATAATCTTTGTAGTCCGATCCCATCTACTCCTTAAAAGCTCAGATAGTTCAGGATTAAGCCACTAACCCTGTACTAATAACACCATAGGCCACTTACCCGGTCCCAAGTCCGGGCATGCAGTAATCCTCCCAGTGTATAATCTCTAAGTCCCAAAATGACTAATCAGGAAAGTACACACATGAATGATGTCCTACTGCATGGGGGTGAGGGTTGTGGGTTCCTGCCGTGGGAACCCACGGGAGCCGAGTTCACGTCTGAACAATTGGCTACCCTGATGACGGCGAAAATACACGGCCAACCGCCACCCATGGGCTCCGGCCCGCCGAAATATCCATCCAATATGTGTAACATGACTACAATCCAAAAAAGAAGCTTCAAAAGAGCATTTGCAAGAGCCCACAGAGATGGGGCTGCCTGGTATCGAGGCATGTGCATGACCCCAAGTGACTTCCCGGCCCATATGCCATTGCCGAAGCATCCACGCCCCAGCAGACCTGCTGGTGTACCGATTCCTCCCCCATCTAAAGTTTCCACTACCCATAGACTCAATGTTGTCCAGTTTAATGTTGGTGGACTCTCCACTCATAAATTAGAAGAAATTAAAACATGGGGAACATCTATTAATGCTGACATCATAGTCTTGTTGGAAACAAGGTGGAGTTTTTCGTCTGAGTGGACTGACGAGGCCTGGCATGCCATCCATTCTGGATCAGTTGCAGATCGCGCCGATGGCGTACTTGTACTAATCAGGCAAGGAGTTGCCCAGGCATCCCAAATAGGCAGTGCAACCCTGATTGCTGGACGCCTCTTGCACATTCGATTGCACTTCCGCCAGAGAGCTTGTGATTTAATCTGCTGTTATAACTATATGGATGACAGGACAACAGCCAGATTGCATCAGCGTGCATCTTTCTGGCAGATGCTGGATACTTGCCTAGGTACGATTCCAAATCGAAACTCCTTACTGATTGCAGGGGATCTGAACTGCTCTGCAGAGCTGGATGGACCACATGTCGGGACCGGTACATTCACATGGCATGGCCACCCCTGTAAGGGCCCTCAACATAGGGATATGAAATCATTCCACTCAGTCCTCCGAAAATATCATCTAACCATCCTCAATGGATGGAATGCTCAACAGGGTCCCACATTCCATAATGGCTTAATGGTCTCACGTATTGATTTTTTCATCACTAGGACGGCTGATGCTGATGGATTCTCACGCGATGTTAAGTACCTCACCCATGCGGATATTATTCCCCTAAAAGGTGCCACTCATATCCCCCTGATGTGTTGCATCCGCAGGTTTCATTTTTCCTACAAATCCAGACAGTCCACAGGGTTCACGTATCAACAGAGGATGCGCTGCAGATTGGACTGGCAAGGAGGAAGTGACACCTGGGAGTCCATGATGGAGCAGACTGGCAATGCCCTGCAAGAAATCTGTGCCAACTCTGACTCCAATGGGGATCCGGTACAACTTTTCCATGATCAGTTGGGGCAGAAATTTCATCACTTCTATCCTAAGAATGTGAAAATTCCCCATGCCCCCAAACCTAATCATGAGGATATTATCCAGCAAAAATGGTACTATCATCGCCAGGTCAAACAAAATCAATCGTTAACCCTCCATGCCATTTTTCATGTGTGGAAATGCCGCAGCAAATGTGCGCAACTGACCAAAGAGCATCGACGACTCACCAAGGTCTTTAAACGCCAAAAATTTTTTGACCTTCTCACAGCGGTACAGAATGCAGCCGACAGGCATGACAGCTTTGAAGTCCATCAGATCATCAATAGGTTTACGCCCAAGCAGCCCAAAAAGAAAATACAGCTTCGAAATGCTGATGGTTCTCCTGCCTCCCCTGTGGAGGCACTGCAAATGACCAGAGATTTTGTTGAACGTATTTGGGCGGGCGCAGAAGCCATCAATCTCGGTCCCAGGGACCCCCCTGGGGTCCCCCTCTCGATTGCAGACATTGAGTTCGAGTTGCAAAGATTGCCCCACAATAAGTCAGTAGCATCCCCGTTCCTGCCAGCACTGGTAGTAAAACAACATGCCTCTACTCTTGCACCCTGGATCCATCAGTATCTAACCCAATGGTGGAGTCACTCCAATCCTTACATCCCAGTTTTGTGGAAAAGAGCCTGGGTAACTCTAATCCCCAAACCCAATAAGAGTCCATGTAAGGTAGAGAATCTCAGGTGCATAGCACTGCAGGAGCCCCTGGGCAAGTGCATTCTAGGTGCACTCACTCGGAAACTGCTTGAGGTGACGGGTAGCACCCTGATGGAGTGGCCGCAATTTGCATTTCTCCCTCATCGATCCACTGGTGATGCAATTCAAAGAGTGATGGACCATTGCAATACTGTCCGCTGCCTAGTCAAAACCCAACGCCGATCGGCACATCAACGTGCAAGTGCAACTGAATTTTTCAGCTGTTGTGGAGGAATACAGATCTTTTTAGATATCCAGAGGGCCTTCGATCAATTGCCGAGACAACAATTGTTTGAACACCTCGATGCCCTCCATGATGCAACTGCTCTCACAACACTCCTAGCCCAATGGCACACAGGTACAAGCTACTGCGTGGAACAGGCTGGAGAAACTGTTGTAGTTGAAACCTCCAAAGGAGTGCGTCAAGGCTGTCGAGCCGCCCCTCTATTATGGAACTGTTTTTTAGATCAATTTTTCCGTCAACTTGCTGCCGCAGTCTCCATCGACTGGGTGAAAGAAACCCTCACTGCCTTCGCGGACGATATTCATCAGGGCGCTGTTTTCAAATCCAAACATCAACTCCTGACAGAAATTTCCCGTATTGGCCTGATTTTGGACACCCTCGAAAATTTGGGACTGACTCTTTCATTGGAAAAGTCTTTTATCCTCATCGAAATTGCAGGCACCCACAGCCGCAAGATACGCAGCAGTCTTGTTAAACAAGCTGGTGGCCATTTTTTTCTTGAGATACCCCGAGCCAATGGAACCCACAGTCGCATTCCGGTCAAAAAGAAAGCCGATTATTTGGGTACATGTCTGAGTTATTCCAATCCTGAGCAGCTGACCTTTGAGAAAAGGGTTCAATGTGCACGGATCACATATCATAGGCTTCGACGTTGGCTGCGCACCCATGCCATTGGATTGAGACATCGGCTTCAGCTATGGCGGGCATGTGTTTTGTCGACCCTCACTTATGGTTTGTTTGCAGTCAATCTGACATTACCCATAATCAAAAACTTCCAGCTCATCATTTTTGGCATGTACAGACAACTCACCCAAAACTACAGTTTCAGAACCCATGACTCACATCAGACAATTTTGTACCGTTATGGTCTTGAACACCCGCTGATGCTTCTCCTGCGCCATGCGCACCAGCTTCAATGCAGACTCGGCCAGAGATCCCAGCACTTGCAAGCCAATGACATTCTCGTTCATGTCAACTGGACCACACTGACTCAGAATACTCAAATGCTGCAAGTCGCCCTCGAGGTGCAAGTGCCAGTTTCACCCACTGCTGACAACGGCCTTGAGGTGCCACAAGCCCTGATGTATTCATGCACAGAATGTCACTATGTTGCTGATACTTTGGCTAATTTGAGACGTCATCAGACCGTTGTCCATCAACGCACTCACTTTAGATCCAGCTTAGGGCATACTATGTCGTGTGCGGTGAATGGACTGCCACAATGCACCTTTTGTTTCAAAACATTCACGACTTGGCGCCAATTTCAGAATCACCTGGACCGCCAATGCTGTCAGGTACGCCCATGTGACACGGGCCTGGACCTGGATGCTCTACTTCGTGAAGAAGAGGAACAGCGCATTTTGCGCATGCATCAGAGTTTAGTTGCCAACCTCCTCAACAAGCCATATGGTGAGGCCTTGCTCGACATTGTCCGTAGAAGGGACTGGGCCGCCCTGGTTGACCAACGCAGTGCATGCCAGGACCTTGCCAATCAATGTTGTGTATGTGATTTTCACTTCACACGGCCACAGGAACTGCACAGTCATATGCGTGTGCATCACCCCAAGTGGATTCCACACACTTTCACCAAGGGCTCCCAGTTGTGCAAAGGCTTTGCAAGCAACTCACCATGCCGGTATTGCAACAAGAGTTTCAAGCAGGCGCATTCCTGTCCAATTCTCACACAGCTGGGCATGCTGCTGATACACCTGCCATCTGAGACAGACCAGCAGGAGGACCCACCATCGGCGGCCTTGCGATGTGAAATCTGTGGACTTCAAGCTGCCACCTTAGATGAAATTCACAGTCATCTTGCCAACACGCACAGGCTTGCCTTCCATGACTGGCAGCCGGAACGGGATTTGATGGGCAGGGACCCGGCCTGCAATCACTGTGCCACGCCATTTGCCAGTGTCTCTGCAGTCAGGCAACATGTGACGTTGGGACAATGCCGAGAGTTTGACCCTCATCGATCACCATCCCTGTTGCCCATCTCACCCGAGATACAGCTGATGATGCAAACTGGTGATTTTCATCCTTTGTTGCAAGACCCCATGAAGCGTATGCGCCTGACGTTGCACTGTGCCCAATGTGGAGTTACATACTCGAGGTCAAACGACTTGATGCTCCATCTGCAGACTGCACACTCGGCCATGTGGAACCAGGCACAAGCCATGACGAAGTTTCTTGTCAAAGTCCTGGCCCCCATCCATGCCTGTGTATGCAATCCCAGTGTCAACAAGTTCACATTGACCCATGTGTGTCCCTTCTACCGTCAGATGGCAATGCTATGGACGCGATCCTCTGTCGAGCTCCTTTTGCCGTGGCTCTCAGACAAAGGCAGTTTGACCACCTTGATGCAACGATGCCATTTGCATGCGGCCTGTCAATCGGTGATTGAAGCCATCCATGCAAGACAGTTGAAGCGTCTTTTGCAAGAGTCGGAGATGAACGAGTTCCTGCGATCTCATTGTGTCCTGTGTGGAGGTGCCTTCCATCCTGCACTCCTCCGAGATCATTTGATCCAGGTTCATGCCTCAAGTCTGACCAGATTGTATGACATTCTGCATTTTCTGTACGACACTTACATGAAGGTAGCCCACACTGACTATCAATGTGCACAGTGCAATCAAATCTTCAACCTGCCGTTGCTTGGTGATCCGACGCTGGCTGAACAGCACTCGAGACAGACTCTAGTCTTGGCTCACTTTCAGCAGTGCCCCGTGATCCATCAAATTGGCCACCTGTTGCTTCATGGACAGCTTGGACACTCTGAGCATGCCAGGCAAGGAGACGCAGGAACTCATGGCGACGTTCAGCGCCATGGCACCGCTCCTGGCTCAGCACAACCAAAAGCAAAAAGAAGACGAAAGGGGTCCCAAGAAGGCCAAGACCCAACATCGACCACCCCAGGAGGAGCCGGCACAGGCGCTGCCTCAAGTGGTGATGCAGATGGCCAAGCTTCTCATCAGACTGGATGCGGACCAGAATCTACTGAGAAAGCAAGACTCCTTCGTCTTTTACATGCAAATGGAGCCGGAGTCGGTGATTCATGTCCTGACAGCTCGAGCCAAGGCCTGGCACCACGAGATGTCACAGGAGACACCAATGAAGACACAGGAATGGAAGCCACTGAGGGTCACCCTGATGCATCACCTGGCAATGACGTTGCAGCAGCGCTTACAGAAGCTATATGCTTGCCAGCCGACGGATGCCCTGTTTCAGAAGGCAATGGAGCACCATCTGTTGAATGCCAAGGGGGAGTTCTTTTTCCAGCGTTGGGACCCGACCAGTCGAAAGCTGACGCAAACAGATCAAGCGCCAATTCCCATGGACAGGATGCGACGCTACATGGACCAGCTGGTGGAGACCACACAGGAGGCAGGCAACATCCTGAAGTTCCACTCGCTGAAGGCGTCGGGGGAGCAGGCGGTGACGCCCTGGCTACTCCAAATATCCCTCAGGTGCGACGACCTTCAAGTCTTGCTGGAGACTCTGTCGGGGAACAAAGTATGGAACCTCCTGGGAGCGGCTCTGAAGCCTCACACCCTCAATCAAAGCCCTCAAGCGGAACAACTGAAGGTCATGCTGGGGAAGGGGAAGAGTGCGGGCAAAGGCAAGCACAAACAGCCCCGGAGCTGATGCAGCCGCCCTCCATGGACAGGAGGCTCCTCCGTGCTGCTATGAGCAACATGGTCTTGCACAATGATCGCAATGACTGTTTCATCAATGCAGCGGTGACAGCCACCCTTTGGACGTTTCTGAGCCGATCTGACTTTGAGCCATCTTTTCTGGGGCCACAGGCCACCCTGATTGCTGAGAGTGTGCTAGGCCATGCCGACCAACCTTTCACCATTGTTGATCAACCTTGGTTTAGAAATGTGATGCAAACATGGCCACATCAGCATGAGCAAGGTGACCCTGTGGAGTTCATTTCACACGTGTTGCGGGGAATGAGATTTGAGGGCTTTGACATGACGTGGGAGCGTCGAGTCCAGATCAATGATACTGTGCGAGTCATGGATCAAAGTGCTGCAGACAGGCCGTTGACAGTGCAATTTGATTTGATGGACATAGAGACTTCTCCCTTGGATTACACATCATTGCAAACGATGTTGAACTCCTGGTCGTCTCAGTATGGTATGCATACTGCTTTGAAAGCCCGCACTCCACTGCTGTGCATCCATGTTGATCGATACATCAACCAAGGTTCTGAAGCAGCTGTGAAAAGTGAGCGCCCTATTCATTTTTGGGGTGCGATCGATGTCCCATTCTTTGCAGATGATGAGCTCCAAATCGACACTGCTGAATATCAAATCCTGGCTGCTGTGTCTCACTCAGGTATGGACTCAGCTGGACACTGCCGCGCCCTGCTGACCACATGGCCCACAGAGCAGCCACCAATCAGCTTCCTGCTGGTGGATGATGATCAGCCCCCTCAAAGACTCAGGGCTGAGCCAGAATGGTTCAAGCGAGATGTGATGTGTCTCTGGTTTTGCCATAGTGACTACCTGGATCTGTTCCATATGACTGACCCGCTGCAGCCACATCCAATCGACGGCCCATCCACTTCTGATTCAGAAGATGCGACAGACCCTGACAATATGTCGCTGCTGAGACTCCTTGCATCCATGCCGAAACCCTGAATGTGCCCAATGCTGCCTGATGCCAATCAACCAATGCAGATGCGATCAGCCACGAGGCATTTTGCCGTAGATTGTAGTCCAGTTTTGTTTAATTAAATGCTGCTCTGCCGTTTCACTCATCCGGCCTTAGTTCCTTAGATCCCAGTCCAAAAAAAAAAATAGGGAGCTGGTCCAAGAGGCAAATGCCCAACGTATCACGAAGGCCAGGGTAAAAAAAGTGGAGCTGGTCCAAGAGGCAAAGGCCCAACGTATCACGAAGGCCAGGGTTAAAAAAAAAAACATGATTTTCAGTGCATGAATTCACTTGCATGGCACAGCTGTCAATCGACAGAACTTGGCGGAGCAGCGTTTCACCCAAGCTGTTGCTTCTAATGCAAGCTGTTGTTTTTCCTCTTCTTTTGACCGGAGCTTTTGGGCGTTCAAAGCCTGCTCTGGTGTGTTGGGTGGATTTTTCACCAAGACCTCCGTGCTAGGAGGCCAACAACTGCCTTCGGCATGTTGAGGCGCGCACAAGACTTTTCTGCAGAAAAGGAGTGTTGAAAAAACACACACACACACACTTGGAAACACAGACACACTCTCCCAAGGAAAAATGCTGCATATTACGTAGATGCCCAGATGGGAATGCAGAGAGAGAGAGAGAGAGAGACAAACAAACACATGCCAAACGTTCAAACGAGGGAACGAATGAGAGCAAGGAAACTCACACAGACAAAACAAATGCACACACACACACGCATCCACAAACACGAACACAAACACAAACACACACACAAACACGCACACACACAAACTGCACGGAAACATGCCTCCAAACTGTAACGGATGGAGTTTCTGTTGCCTGTGCAGTAATCACAAAAGATTTCAAACAACTTGATTCAAAAAAACTGTTCAGCTGGCATGGAATTGTGCACAAATTTGATCATCACTGACATAGTCTGAACAGAGTGTGCAGAGTACAATTCTTCTTGTTTTGACAAAATTTCACTATATCAATCATATGCTTTAACAGTTGAAATTTAATGCTTGGAATTTGTCATTTTGTGGCAAAAAAATCCAAAACATGGCGGGACTCTCTGTGGCATTGCGCGGAACAGGTGAAGGTGTACAAAGAAAGGTTGAACGAAAAGTGTCGAGAAATTGCAGATTTGCAGCTTCAACTCGAAACTTTAGAGGCAGGATCTTCTGAAATTTCGCTGCTAGAAAATCGTGGGCGGGACTCTGTGTGGCATCACAGTAAGTAGTCTTATCATTTGGCCATGCAGACATGGGAACGCATTGGGGAAATAGTTTTTTTTTTCTCAACTGAAACTAAACCGGAATTCCCCAACTTTGGGCAGGTAGGTGTAGTGGGTGTAGCCAGTGTAGCCTAGAATTCAGGTCCTTTTGCACCGAAGGTGAAGGACCCAGCTTCGCTTATTGTTTGGCAACACTTGTGCAATTCGTGCAGGCTCTCAATGCTGCGCGAAATGAAGATAATTTGAGCCATGGCTGCAACTCCGATGCCACTCCGACATCACGGCCATGTTGTAAGTTTCGCAAGTCATGAATTTCGGGAATCGGAAGATTCTCCAAGATGAACTTTCAACCGCTGTCATTGTCACGGCGTCAGTGCCGGCATTGTCGTGTGGTTGTCGCGTGTGTGTCGTGTGTGCCACGTGTCAGGGAGAGCCATCTGCAGATAGCGTGCAACCGCCACGGGGCGAAAAACACCGTGGAAACCTTGGCGAAGGTTGCTGAGAAGGCGAAGCGGCGAAGCACGTTGGTATATTTTTCATCATTCTCTTATTATGCTTCATTATTACAGATGCACTTTACAGACGTTTAAAAAACACAGACACACATATTCATATTTGTTGCATCTCTTTTTCTTCCATTTGTTTCCTCTTATTTTCGGTCGTCTTCGGTTTTGCTGAACTTAGACAAATTCAACAGGGATTTGATGAAGTCTGCGCCTAGTAGACGAGCAAAGGGCTTGCAGGCTAGTCTAGCAGATGCCTTGATGTAACATCTATGAGGTCTTTTTTTGATTTTGATTCATGAGCAACCGGCGGGCAGCTTCTGAGAGAACAGTGTCATCAATGACAGATTTTGCAGTTGAAGTCTTGCAGCTGTCCAAGATAACTCATGGCTGATTTTCATTAGTTTCTGCATGTTTTTTGCGCTGATGCGCTTGACCGGATCCAAATTTGTCTTGTGTCCAGGAGATGAAAGAATGGGCCCAGATGGCTCGAGGAGGTAAAACACCCCAGGGATCTGTTGCTTGGCAACCAACGGGTTTGGAGACCAGTACGGAACAGGATTGGACGTTGATTTCTGGATTCTTTTGATGTGTTTCTGGCCTTGCAGAGTAGTTCCACCTGAGTATAGTGAGGAAGATGACGCTGATGGCTGATGCAAGACAATTTCTAGAACAGTTTCAGGGACTTGAGCGCAGAAGCAGATGTGATTCACTTTCAATATTCCCTTCGTATCATGTCAATGTGAGAATGTTTGAAATGCGAGTAGCTGCAAAGAATGCTTTCGCCAGAGTCTAGTTTGTGGCCACCAAACAATCTTTCGGCTGATCAAAGCGTGGATGGATTTCCGAAAGGAGCTGTAGAGATGGGGATAGATGGGGTAAATCATGGTAGATCTGAAAGGGACTTCGGAACATTTTGTTTTTCAACATTTTGAACTAAAGGACTAAAGGTCCCGCATCGCCACGCCTGGAGAGGCTATGGAAGCATCGTTCGAGACATCGCCCGCTCGTTTGGAGCAGATGCGACAGGCCATGATGCAGGCGGCGCAGGAAGCAGAACAAGAGCGAAGTGCCAGGTGCAGCTGACGAACGAAGATGAATGAAGAATGAATAAAGCATTAATAAAGAACTTAACAATTTGATTCAACATACTATCTTAGATAAAACGAGCTGAAACTACGGGAGAGAGACGCGATTGTGATCAAAAGATGACAACGGACTTTGTAACTTTATGGGTCAGTGATAAGCTTTGATGCTTGGCGAAACTTTTGTTTGGCATGTCAGGCTTGAAGCGGAGAAGTCGCTCCAAGAAGCTTTGCAACAAATCCAGCAGTTGAAGAATGAGATCGATGCTTTGAAACAACGCCTTGAAGCAGGTTCAGTTGATTCAGGGGCGGTTCAGTATAGCCGCTGGGAGAAGCCACTGGGAGAAGCCACCAGGAAGTCTCCTGTTTTATTGGAGAGTCAGATGATCCTTATGAAAGAGCTGTATCATATTGTATCAATTGTTGGAATATGTTGGAATTGGATGCGTTGGCAATGCTTCGGACTTTTGGAGAGTCAAGGTACAGCCCATCCATTCGGAATTGTGTGAAGACTATGGGTATGCTGGCAACATCTATCTATACGATAGATAATAGTCAAGCATGATTTTGTTTTCTCATGGTGAAACTTCTCTCCCACTGGTTACTGTCTCCCGAGAGATATCACAGAGAGCTCTGTGGGTTCAAATCATTTTATTTGGGGCAGAAGTTGGACAAACATGCTTGCCTCCACATGCCTCCACATGCCTCCACATGACTCCATTGTGTATTGGATCGAGACTGGTTGCAGCCTGAAAGCTCACTCTTTGCACAGGTCATCCTCCAGCCAAAGTAGAAGTTCCGGCACCTGTGCAGGTCATGTTGAAACCACACAGCAAGACTGAAAAGGGCGCAACATTGCAATATGTTACTACAACTACATTGTAAGTACATGTTGCAACATAATTAAAACGATCTCCAGACAACTTGTTTGAGACAATTTGGACGCGCTATTGTCAAGTTATGTCAAGTTCCTGTTGCGGATGTTGACTGGAGCTCTTACTCGCAACATCCCGCAACCCTACTGTCAAGTGACACATAGTGACACCGTTGAGGCTGCTGTGAGCATCTTTGAGTTGTGTCGGTTGTGACGATTCCAGGTCGGTAACATGATCGACCCGAAAGAGATGGATGAGCTGCGGAAGGAGTTAGCAAGGACAGGGCATTGATGTCTGGCACACGAACAGTTCAGAATAGTTCAGGATCTGAAAGAGCTGTAGCTATTGCAAGCTACTGTAGTCAACTGTAGTTTATCAGGATCATGTTCATAGAAGGCCTTCAAGAAAACAAGGCTGGCACAGGCCTGCCTGATACACAACATTACACAACATACATTTGGGTAAATGATTTAAATGTATATAATATCTGTATATATATAATCAGCAGCATCCCTGCGCATCCTCAAATCCGTAGGATGAAGCTGCAACTGGACAAAGAGCCACCTGGTACGACTTGGAAATACTTGGAATCTCTCGTTGAGAAAGGATGAGAAAGGGATCATTTTGCCCAAAAAGGAAGAGACACAATTGAACATAATTGAACAAGAAGTGCAAAGACCAAGCCAGTTTGAGGTTCAATTGGAGATTTCAAATCGATGCCAAACAAGAAGTTCAGTTTGAGCAAAGGATTAATAGACATTAATAGACTATTCTTAGAGTTAATAGACCTAACAGATCCCAAGGCGAAGTCGCAATGCAGAGTTGGAGCTCCTTCAGGCTGGGCTCGAATGATCCCGATGGGGGTTGATGTGAATGTGAAAGGATTCGACCCATTCAAATTCAGTTTGTTGATGTTTGTTGATGTGTTTGTCGTATCTGTGGAGCTTGCTGAACATTCCCTTTTCGTCACGGGAACCCAAATACTGTGATAGGCTTTTGAAACGAGGAGATTGAGATTCATAACTTGCTGAATTGCCATGAACTGTCCCAGGAGGCCAAAGCATCAGAGACAAGGGCAAAACTGGAGGATTATGATCCTTGGAAAATTCGAGTACATGGTCCAGTTCTTGGGGCTTTTGCCTGCTTGATTGGAGACATTGAATTTAGTGAAATCATTCTAAACATTTTCATTTTGCATATAGCCATACCGCCACATCTCAGCAATCCTTGCCCGGCTTAGGTACACGCGTGTAGCATGTGCAAGAACCGGAAGAAATGCACGAAACAGGCATGACAGTACTACACAGTATATACAGTTTACAAGAAGACTTAATACGGAGCCCTATGAAGGTTTAAATCTTGCAGACTGCGGAGGCATGTGAAGCTTGCAATAAAGGTGGCGGAATATTGGCGGCTTGTGGCATGCTCGCTCTTTATTCTGAGTGTTCGAGTTTGTCGAAACCTGTGGGCCAAGGAAGACACCCATGCAGTGCTCAAGGAAGCGCAAGAAGTTCACAAAACCAAGACTGACGATGCAGGCCATGAACGACTGCTATGAGTCATTTTATGCAACTTCATGCTGTTTGGTTCGCCCCGATCACTAGCAAATTCATTCGCAGCATGGGATGCCGATTCAGTAGATGCGACAATGATGGCTTGCAACTGTCACAACTACGAAGTCGTAGCTTTAACATGCTCTCTTCTGATGCAGCACCGACCCAAAACAGAGTGTTGCGCCAGTATGTCGACATCAGAGCAGGGTGTTGACATATTATATATATATATAGAATGTTTTAGAATTTTAGAATGTTGTAGTAGATGTGATAGATTGACCTTCTTTCTCGTGGTGCTCGGGTTTTCATCTCCTATGAAATGCCTGCCCGGTAAAGATTTGCACATCTCAAGGTCCGACAGAGAGCCTCACTGCTTGCGCTGAGCAAGTAGTCACTGCTTTGAAAGAACGTTCCCATGAGCTCCTTGGACATGCACGAAGAGAGATGACAAGGTAATGTACAGTGGTTGCAATTTTTGCGAACCTAAAGTCACAGCAGGCAAATAGGGCTGTCACAGGCACGAATCTGAAGTGGCGTGCTTGGTTCAAGGAGTTGGCGACTAGGAGCTAGCCTCCAGCCAACCAAGGGCCCTCCAAGCTCTGCATGGAGCGTTTTCATACCATTTTGCACAGCCTGTCCATTGCCATACTCTCCATATCTCTCCGTACCTGCACCTGAGGCTGGAATCATTGCGGAGCCTTTCAAAGAATGCAATGAGTCCACCAGGTTCACGGCAGGCCCACTATCGTTCTTGGCATGTCCTTTTGCGCCATTTTTCACTAAGTTTTTGGACGGACTTGCAGAATTTCTGAAGCGAACTGCAGAACCGTTCTGACTCAGAAACCCCCAATGGCCCCAGGGAAGCAAAAGCCGCATGGGCAGCCGCCAAACCACCGGCCACCTTGACCGGACTGATGAGGCATTAGCCTCGGGACGTGGGAAAGTAAGATGGGAATGGCTACAGCGCGCAACTCGCATTGCAGCATTTGGCTGAACCATTCAGCTTCAGAACTTTACAAGCTGCAAGTTGGATCAAGTTGGATCAAGTTGGATCAAGTTGGAAATTCGGCAGATTAGGCAGCCTGCAGATGCCGCAGCTCTGCGCATGTTGCAAGGCGGAGGATTCGGAGGTTGAGAACATCGATTTTGATGGAGAGCCTGCTGAAGGCTGTCAGCACCGTGAGGCAACTGATGCCCGGGAAACGGTGCAGCTTTTCTCCATTGAAGATATTGAAGCATCAAATTTATGCAGGCGTTTTGGATCTGATATGATTTACATTGATTCACTGTATGATGCGGTGATGTAGCTTTGCAACTCAACTTGAAACCGAGAAGATAAACATGCAGAATCGGCATTGACATGTAGACAATTGACAATGCATTTTCAGTTATTCTGGGGCGCTCACCTGCTACGCACTTGCGGTCCTCCAGCTTAGAATTGGCATGTGTACCAGTGTACCCTAGCATGCAGCAGTTCCCAATGGAAAGTCAAATCAATCTTTGGTTGCAAGCCACAGAAAGGGGCCTTTTTGTTGCAAAACTTCAACTTGGTTTCGATTCTGTTGTGTCAGTGTGATTGCACATATTTCTGCACATGTTAATTGGAACTCTCGACCGTAATCTTCAATTGAAGCAACACTAAAGATAGCCATGATAGCCCATCCTCCAGGCAGCACCCTGCAGACAGGCTCAGACGAATGTCACCTGTGCTAGCGGCAGCTTCTATCTGTTGGAGGCACTTGAGACGCCGGAGGAGGAAGCTATCAAGAATGAGCTGGAGGAGCTCAGAAAAACAAATATAAAGCTGAGAAGAGCTGAGAAGAGCTGAGAAGAGCTGAGAAGAGCTGAGAAGAGCTGTGAAGAATTGATAAATAAAGGGGACAAACTTGAGCAAGGAACTCCTGAACACTGCAGGACACTGCACAATTCAAGTTGAACAATGTGCAGTGTCAAGCTCCAATGTTGAACATCAATGACCATCAATGAACGGCAATGAACTTCAATGAACTTCAATGAACATCATCATGCAATTTCCACTGCCACGCACTGTTCAGGAGCTCCAAGCCTGCATGGACAACGCGTTTGATGCTGCCTTGGGCACTATCCGTGGATGCCTGAAGCCGCCCAGGGGCCAGGGCACAAATCGTTGCTCTCGGGGCGCCTTCCTCCGTTTGTTCCATGGGGTCAGGACTGGGACTGCAACTGAGAAAGAATTCAGACAGCCTGCAATCTGAAGTAAAACACAGTATGTATTTGAAATCAAATAAAATCAACATGAAATCCTTGCTTAAGAGCAAGAAGTCTCTTTGTCATGGACCAGGAGCCGCCTTGGTCGCTACGATCAGCTGATTGAGAGGATCAACTCCATGCGAAGAGCAGAGTTGCCCGACTGATGACTCTAATTTGGCATTTGTCATCATGTATACTTAGTATACTGTATACTTAATTCACCAAGTGGAAAGCCAACAGTAAACTTCTCTTTTGCATAGTTTGGGCTGCCTTCATCGTGTGCCAACTTTGGTGGCTGGCCAGCGGAAAAGACATCTTATGCATACTCATACTCCTCCACTCTACTGTTCACCAAGCTGAAGTGTTTGGCGTCTATAGTGGTATCTTGCGATGCACGCTGCTTACCTGTTACATCCTCAGTTCTGCGAAAACAACAGACTTGAAGGGGAAGTTATAAACCAGCTACCGATCTTGTTTTTTTTTCAACCAAATCATTACTTACTGATTGAGCACGTAGCTAGCGCTAGCTCACCTGGGACGCAATTGATCCCCACAAAGTAAAGACGTACTCGTACCGTCCACATTCAAGAAAGTTTCAGTCCAGATGTTCCTAGTATCTTTGTTGCATACAACAACATGAATCTCACCTGGATGTTTCAAGGTATTGATAGCAAGCACAGGGTCCCGTCTCCCGTTGACCTATTGCCTCCTGTCTGGTTTGCCTGGAAACGTTTCCTGTTTCGACCTCGTACTCGGCACAGCCATAGCTGAGGTATCCTAAGGCAGCTGCTAAGGCATGCAAAGAATATGCAAAGGTTAAGCTTGGACGATCCAGGTATTGGTGAGCCTTCTGTCCGACAGCTAAGGCTGGAACAAGTGCTCGAAGGAGTTCACTTCCTCATGGAATCCAGCCTCCCAGATGTGCCTGCCCTTGCACTAGGGAGGCTCTAAGGCAACAACTTGTGTTCATCTATTGATCTATATAATTGATCTATGTTCTGTTACTTCTGTTGTGTAAAGTTTGTAGTTTTTGCGCTATTGCGTCCCGCAATTCTGTTTTGGTACATGTTGAGGCTTCAAGATACTTCTTTGCTGAGCTTTGCATACATCTACAATGCCTAAGGATGTAGTGAGGTGAATATGGATGTGTTTTTGAACCATTACCTTTTGTCCTCATGAATTCTGTGTAACCGGTTTCCTGGACGTCCTTTCTTTGTGGAACTACAAGGTGACTGAGGGAGAGTTGCGATCAAGAGAGTGACAGGGGAAACTAGAAACTTTCACGCCTGGTCGATAGGACAATGCTATCTTTTGCGTACATGTTGAATTACTGTTGAAAAATATCAAGAAAGGTTCTATATTTACTCCAATCACTGTAGTTCGCTGGACTTTCTTGTCAAAGGAAGACATTGGTCTACGCGATGCCATTTTTGGCAAAGGTATTACAAAGGCGTGCGGGGGGTAGCATCACCTGATGCTCACCAAGATTGCCTGACGATCCACAATTCAGAAATGAAAGTCCACAGGTTCAATCACTGCGTTAAATAGATTTGAAAGTCAAGGGCAAGTTCTTTTTTTTGCGTCGGCAAAGCTGGGTGCCATCCAAATCTATTAAAGGTGATTCAACACCCCTGTCTGGCAGCAGTTTCCAATCGCTTCCAACCTTGGAATGGCACAGGTGATGTTGGAGGAAACCCGAGATCAGGACTTCTCTGCCTTGGTGAAACGTTGGCGTGGACACTGTGGGCGCATCGTGGGCCATCTTGCTCTTTTGGTTGCATAAGTCAGGAGTCGAGATACAATGATTGCAGTGCGCTGTGTAGAAGTGTGTGTATGGGATGATATAAGATCATTTGCCATCCATCATGTACCATTGTCTAAATTTCAAGCAATTGACTAGTGTTGAATTAGTCCTGAAATTACTGTGCTTGAAATCAATAATTGCTGCTTTGCACGGATGGTGGGCAGATGTGAATGCAGCCCTCAACTCAACTTGAATGAAATGCATTATTTGAATCATTACGATGAATATTTGGAAGGCATGAGCGATTATTATCACGAGTCAAAAGTTGTGCCCACCCCCACTCCGATACCACTCTGATCTCTTGAGGTTGGATCAAGGGCCAATATCTTCCTTGAGGCCCATCCAGGCCTGGCCACAGTGTAAAGCTTTGCAAGTAGGAAGTAGGAACAATCAAGGATGGAAGCTGGAAGCTCTTCTTTGACTCTTTGAGAATCATTGATCTGTTTGATAGACATGAACGGAAATGCATAGATATGAATAGATATGATTTGAATAGATATGAACGAAAATGACAGTTCGATAGAATGAACAGTGTTGCATACACACTTTAAATGTACACAATTTATATACTATATATAAATACTTTTGAGATGTTTTGGTATGCTTCAAGAACTAAATTCGCAATATATACATACTCTCTCTCTCTATATATATACATACTATATAGACCTACAATAAATTATGTACAATATATGTATTATATATATGTATGTACATAATATATAATATATATATATATGGGTAAATTATAACGCCTCACTGCGACCTCACTGGAATCATGGTTAGTAAGAGGAATCATCCCAAAATTGCCTTATTTCAGGTTAGTGAATTATTATAATTTACCCAGATATATACACAATACACATATATATATACAATATAAATATACATATGTATATATATATATATACACATACACATACACATACACACATACATACACACATATACATATGCATATATATATATATATTTACATATATATATATATTTACATATATATATATACATATATCTATTCGATATATATATATATATCTATTCAATATATATATATATATACACATACGTACGTACGCGTACAGACAGACAGACAGACAGACAGACAGACAGACAGACAGACAGACAGACAGACAGCCATGCATGCATGCATGCATGCATGCATGCATGCATGCATGCACACACACACACATACATACATACATACATACATACATACATACATACATACATACAATATATATATATGTAATATGTATATGGATACAAATATACTATATATATATGTATACGCAAACACACAGACACTTGAATCTTTCTCAGGGTTGTACTGAGAAGTGTTGAGAATCCTCTGAGGGCAGCCCTTTCGAGTGGGATTTGTGGGATTTTTGAGATTCCATGACTATCAGGGTTTCAATCCAGTCATGAAATTGTTGACCCATATGAGACCCATATGGAGGATCTGGATATCCCAAGAGATCATATACATCTACAGGCGCTTCTTACATCGGCATATGTTTTGTTCATGTGTTTCTGCAAAAGATGCGGATGCGTGTTTAGAAAATGACGCTCGCTATTGTTTTCTATGTAGTGATGTGTTTTTGTCTTGGGCAGTTGTGTTGAACTGTTGCTGCTGACAACAAGGCCGACGGATCTTCATTCCGTTGCCTGGCACCGTCCCTAGTCATGATGGTGGCACTGGTGGTGGACTGCAAGCACGACAAAGAAAGGAGTTAGCTGGATGGGTTTCGGCACAGACATTTAGTGCAACACTTTCGCTTCAGATTCGACATAGTGTTACGACTTGTTTGAATGGGGTTTTCGCGTGGTATGTTGTGCAGGGCAGACTATTGTCGACTCGTCCCTGTTGCACTCGTCGATAGAGGTGGTGGAGGAGGTTGGAATATCTCCAGGCAACGGGTTTATTGCAAGGTATGCGCACGCGGAACCACACCATTCTGGAAATGAGGCAACTTTTGCCTTCAGTGGACTTTTTGATGCTGCCTCCTTTGGGCCGCCGGATTTGTTTTCGTTCTTGTGATCTCAGAGGCAGGATCTTTGCTCGTACGCATTCATCATCATGGGATTCATTCGAGTCATTGGCCATGTGATGCCATGTGCTCTTTTTTGAAACGTTTACAGAGACTTAGTGGTATGGCGAGAAGAATTGGGGGGCATGCGGAGTCAGCATGTTTCGAAGGTTTGGACAGGCAGGAATCTTCAAAGGTTCGAAGGCAAGGCTCCGGAAGGTTCAGGTTTCAGGCATTGCGCGCATGTACTGGACATAGGAAAATATCAAAATATTAACATCACTTTAACCGTCTCAAGTAGGAATTTCTATGCCTTCTTAGTCTTCGAATAGAAAGGCATAGAAAGGCACTAGAGAAAGACATAGAAAGACTATGTACATAATCCCTTGATTCCTTTCTTATGCGCACCGGACCTCGCTACCTTTTTGCTGTTTGGGTCTCACATTGACGCTTAGCTTAGCCGCTTAGCCATCTCAGACGATTTTATTGATAGCACTTGCTAGCACTCGTTTTCAGCAGGACCGCACGTCGCCGCACGTCTTAACCTGCAGGACTTCAGCCCAACACGACAGCAGCTCTTCGAAGGTCTTTCTGAAGCTTGCCGTGAAGCGATGCAAAGAATTCAGCAATAGCTCAACAATACAACCTGATGTAGTCATCAAGTCTTGGGGAGAAAGATGGAGAAACATGGAAACCAATGGAGAAAAAGGGCAGTCAGGAAGTTGATCCAAGTAGATCTCAAAAACTTGTAAGCAATCAGAGACACCAAGTTGACACTACAATGGGCCAAGTCGATCAAGTCTAAGCTGCAAGAGGCAGATGTGTCTAGTTTAACAGCGAAGCCACCAAAGTTCATCAAGTACTGCAGCATGACATTGCTTTGCGTATCCTTCATTTCTTAGCTCACCTATACCAAGTTTGAGATACACCAAGATGGCAAGATGTTGAGAACGACGTGGACACTTGCAGCATCTTGCAGCTTTGCTTTGCCCCATCCTGGACTCGAGGATTATGGAGGTGAATCTCCATGCTCCACCATGAGAGGGCGCAAGTTCTCAACATCCAGGCTGGACACTTGTCAATATTTGTCAATGCTTCATTGCTGTAGCCCCAAGAGATCTGAGTGCGGACACGCCACGTGGATGGGAGTGACGAGCTGAAAGCCACCAGAAAACGGGTTCAGTAGATTAAGATCCCCAAACAGACTATGCTGTTCAATCTCGGTATGTCCATCAAGCTACAAGGGTTTGTTGCATCCCCATGTGACGGAGAAAAGAGCACGGAAGAGCATTGTTCAAAGATTCAAACATGTTTAAACATCCCATACATTCCCATACCATTTCTGTCCATTTCTAGTGCCGAGGTCGCCTCGAAAGGGCAATCCTGGCAATCCATCACCAATGCCCAGTGGACGATGCAGTGTTTGCAGATCGCAGAGCCCTTGCAGTGACATCGCTGTGGAGGGCAGGGCTTTGCAGTCTTTTGCTGCTGATGGCGGGGGCACTTGGCTGGCTGCCAGTTCAATGAAATTCAGATGGAATGGGTCCAGTTGCACCGCCTTCAGAGAAAGCAGCATGCACAGCATTGCACAGGCCTTGCATAGCTCTTGCGTAGCACATAGCGCAGCCATGCATAGTGCGTTGCACTTGCTCCAGGCAGCCCCATTAGCCTGGCTCGTTTCAGAGAAGGCCGCGGCATCGGTGCTTTGGAGTGGGAGCGCTGTGTTGCAGCGGCAGAAGGATTGGAGCCAACAGAGCAGTTGCGAGGCCTCAGCCTTAGATATCTTAGATTCTTAGATTAGTCCTAGATGTTTCTTTTTGCACATCACAATCATGACAATCATCACAATCATATCAGAATTTCCAGTGCATGCCAAGATGCACATGTCTAGTACCATGCATTTGTCCTTCAATACTAGCATGCGTATCAAACGCGTACATATGGGTAATTAATCTCCTGGCAATGAATGTAGCTCACAGGGCTTGACTCAATGCCAGTCCAAATCTTGCTATGCTAGCTTCAGCAGTCTGGAAGAAGTTGCAAGAAATTTATGCCTCAATGCTTTTGGGAGAAGGAGATGGCCAAAACATTAATGTCAACACCAATAGACGGTATTCCCAGCCATTTGAGACTGAACCCAAGACTTGAATCCTTCAGGGAAAACGAGTCAAGCTACCACCAATCAACTGGGTGTAGTTCGAGGTGATGGCCTTCGTCGGAACAGGTGCGGGAAGTTGTTTTCAAAAGCAAAGCCGTGCATTGAGGCAGTGCTTGCTTCAGCGAAAACATACTTTCACTGCTATGCGAAACCAAAGTGTGCTCGCCACGCAAGCTCCAAACAACAATTGTGATTTTGATATGTTTTGATAACTCTTGATACTACCATACCGTCAGTAGAGTACTGTTCTACTATGTTCTACTATGTTCTACTGTTCTAGAGTAGTCCTACTGTGTGTTCTTGTCACGGCTCCCAAAGCCATCACGGTGTGGCAGGTCACCTGGAGCACCTGATGCTCCCAGAACTGCTCGGTCACCTGATGGCCTCACAAGGTCACCCTCTGTCTCTGCCAGAGAGGCGCTTCAAAGCTGCAATGATTCGATCAAAGATGATCAAAGATGATCAAAGATGATCAATGATCAAACACCTCAACAATCTTAGCATTGCAAAACAAGCAAACCAAATCATAGCATCGGATCAGGTGATAGAATCAAATGTGCAGTTTTTGTCTCAAGCCTGCATCAGAATTGGTGGAAGTGCAACGACTCACGAATTGGTTCAGAAAGATACCTCACCTTCCAATTCGATTTATTCCACTTCACGGCCGCAAGTGTTTTGAGAGGTTCGTCTACGTGAAGCGAGAGCTGGCAAACTCCGTGAAGAAGTTCTCGAACGCTTGGCTGTGGAGGTGCTGGAGTCTTTAGAACCATTAGAGCACCGAAACTATCCATTTGCATCCATTGGCATCCATTTGCCAGTTGATTGCCATGGTACTTTGCAGTACTTACCATACTTACCGGTACCTGTTGCATGAAATGTTGCATCTTGCGGTATTTCAAGACGAGCTGCATTGAGTACCTATGCAGAAGCTGTGGAAATTAGCAAATTAGAGTTTGTCCGAACATTTGGTATTTGAACATCGACTTGCTGGGGCCATGAATTGAAATGTAGATGGCAGAATCATGAAGAACCACGACCAGGCTGACAAGTGGCATGCCTTGGACCTTTCGTATGTAGAGGAGAGTATGGTGGCAGGAAAACATCAGAGGTGTATCTAGCGGACGCCACTCAGCGCTTGGCATGTGGAATTTGTGTCAATTAGCAGTTGAATTGGATTTGGCGATCATCGAAGGAAGTTTAGAAGTCAAACTTCCGACAATATGGACAGATGAAAAGCAGAGCAGGGCAGAGGCAGAGAGAAGAGGAAGATTAGAAGAGAGAAGATCAGAAGAGAAAGAGTAAGAAGACAGAAGATACAGATGCGCGAAAAGGTAGGAAAGTCGCGAAACACTGTGTTTTTCCAATGATTTGTGGCTCAGGAGGGTCGAAAAGTAGGCTCGCTAAAGCGGCGGGTGCGGAGCCAGCTGGCCACAGGAGCGATGAAAAATTGCACGCCGTTGTGGCGCGAAGCACATTTCCAAGTCAAAATGTACAAAACACCTCAGGTCCGGACCACTTTTGGAAGTTATGATGTCGAAAAAGTGCACGCCGTTGTGGCGCGAAGCACATTTCCAAGTCAAAATGTACAAAAACTCAGGGGTTCGGACCACTTTTGGAAGTTGCGATGTCGAAAAAGTGCACGCCGTTGTGGCGCGAAGCACATTTCCAAGTCAAAATGTTAAAAACACCAGGGGTTCGGACCACTTTTGGAAGTTATGATGTCGAAAAAGTGCACGCCGTTGTGGCGCGAAGCACATTTCCAAGTCAAAAGTGTTAAAAACTGAGCGTCGGACCACTTTTGAAGTTCGATGTCGAAAAAGTGCACGCCGTTGTGGCGCGAAGCACATGTCGAAGTGAAAACGTAAAAACACTAGGGGTTTGGACCACTTTTGGAGGTTCAGATGTGCTTCCCTTCGCTTCGCTTAACTACACTACACTACATTACACTCCACTGCACTACATTACACTACACTACACTCCACAACACTACAACTACGACTACACAACTACACAACGACACAACTACACTCCACTACACTCCACTACACTAAATTACACTCCACTACACTACATTACACTACACTACACTTCACTACATTACACTACACTACACTCCACTACACTACACTACACTACAACTACAACTACACAACTACACTCCACTACACTCCACTACACTAAATTACACTACACTACATTACACTACACTACACTCCACTACACTACACTACATTACACTACACTACCCTCCACTACACTTCACTACAACTACAACTACACAACTACACTCCACTACACTCCACGACACTAAATTACACTACACTACACTACATTCCACTACACTCCACTACACCACACTACATTGCACTACACTACATTACACTGAATGACACTGCACCACAGATAGACAGGTAGACAGATAGATAGATAGACAGATAGGCAGCTAGACAGCTAGACAGATGAAGGAGAGAGAGAGAGAGAGAGAGATAGCGAGAGACAGAGAAATAGATAGATAGATAGATAGATAGATAGATAGATAGATAGATAGATAGATAGATAGATAGATAGATAGATAAATAGGTAATTAGATGAAAGAGAGAGAGATAGATAGATCGATAGATAGATAGATACATAGCTAGATAGATAGGTAGCTAGGTAGATAGTCAGAGAAAGAGTGAGAGAGATCAATCGTCTTTCGATCCATCAGTGGCTTCGCTCTGCCATCCCTGATTCACAACAACCAATCTCTCCTATAGGTTTCCTATTTTTGAAACTTCAGCCACCGCCTTGTGCGGTACTACTGGTACCTATATACCTATCATGCGTGTCCATGCACATCTTACATCTTTTCGTGCTCCACCAGTTCATACTTTGTGTCCCTCGTCTCTGCAATGTAACGATGCATTTTCTATCATTTTCTAATACTGCAGGAGCCGGCAACGTCCGGAGATTTGCATCCTGTGGAAGTATGCGCTCAGCATGGAGATCTGCCAACTGTGGAGGACAGAAAGCTTTCTACCATTGGAACAAAACAGGGTAGGCACCATCCGTAGCACCGCGCAACTAACGACGCCTCCTCAAAAAGGCTCTGAAAGGGAGTGCTCCTACTTGGGGCTGGCAGTGGTTCGAACCCGGGCTTGTATCATTCGAAGGAACTACCGGAGGCCATCACGGTTAGTACATCAGTATGACAGGGGTTAGTCACTGCAGTTGTCCGCTGAGCTGCCTGATGCCTGACCATCCCTGCAACCTGGATCAACCGTGATCAACCTGGAACTTTGCGCATTGCATCGTTTTAGGAGCCAGAAAGACAAAGCTCGCAGACTGGAGTGAAATTGTGTCTTGGCAGCATTGGGCAGCATGCATTGCAACATTGCAACCTTTATTCTAGGCACTCTGCAACGATTTTTGGAACGGAAGGTTAAATCACGGACAAGGGAGTGGAAATGACACTTTTTCGCTCCAAGCATTAGCCTTTCATTTTCAGATTAGCCTCTGAAGTTGCCCCAACAGTGAGGAATGCTCAAAAGAACGCATAGAAAACATGTCTGGCCGTCCAACAGCACCTGATGCTGTGATACCCAGCTTTGTTTAACGCCGTTGTGTGCCTTTCCCGAAGTGTCAGGCGGGTTCCATTTGGTGATGCAGTGCAGGGCCCAGACAAACATGTTATGCTTGGAGGTTTTGTGATTTTGTGAGTGCAGTATCACAAAAAAATGTTTCTGCACTCTGCGCTTTTCTGCGCTGTTTGAGCAAAACAAGTTGAAGAGTCAGCGAGTTGAGTCGCAGGGGGAAGCCTTGGAAATCTTGGAAATCTCCAATCTTGCCTGTTTGCTCCCGAGGCTGGTGCAGGCATGGCAGCTGCACGAGCGCGGCCAAAGTCTGATCGGCAGGCGCTGGCAACTTTCAATGTTTTTTAAGTTTTAACAAAGATACACAGTAGGTGATAAAGTCATTAAAGATTCGATCGTTTTCATGATGCTCATATTTTGCTCTTCGCCGAGAGGGTTTGGCTAGCATTTGATCATGAAGCATAAGATTTCTTTTCAACACCCTGGATGGGAAATCACATCCAGCAAGGGCAAGGGCTCTGTGAAATTGAGAAAGTGCGATTTGATAGTGTGGGACTCCAGGCGTGTGATTTTCGTTTGAGAGTGCAAGTAGTATGTACATTATTTATCAGTATATAGTACAGTATATTCTTCTCTTTTTTACAAGGTTATGCTGAGGTCAGACTATCCATCTACGGTCTGGGTCCCCCTTGCGTTCAGGGCATGACGAAGAGTTCAAGCTCCATCACAGTGCAAAGCCCAGCAACATGTTCAGACGGATTTGATGTGGCTCCGCAGTAGCGCAGTCCCCCCATAGAGTCTTGTGCAAAGACCGCAGCATTTTTTGATACTTTGGTCCTATGCTTTTGGATGCTTTTGGTTTTATATACCGACATATTCTTTTCATCATGCAGCCACATCGAGGGAGGTGCGTCTTGGAACCAATGACGGAATTTGAAGGATCATTATTCATAGATATTCACTGGTGGGAAGCATTAGATACTCTCTGAGCTGAATTTGTACAAGTTCGCAATGCAGCTGGCCAAATCCTTGCAGAAGCCCACAGTGTGTGTGTGTGAAACATCTGAACAGATGTAAAACCTCTATCTCTTTGTATTGTCAATAGATGCAGGGGGTGGTAGCAGGGTTCCAGAGTCTACCACCAACAAAGACGCTCTGGTTTACTTGGTGATACATGGCCTGATCAGCCATGCGTACCTGCACTATTTTTCACTGCAGTGGCACGGGGCTAAGCCCAGAACCCCTCCACGACACAATTTATTACAGACAGGAACGTTGCCGGCATTACATACATGTTCCGTGCAAGGCTTCAGGTACATGGCTTTTCCCTGCAGGTGTGGTCACTTTGGTTTTTGGGTGAGGTTGAGCATATTGTGCACCCAATTCGTATGAACTTGAACAGCCGATAACAGCCGTTTAATGCCCACTTGTGGGTGTGACCGACTACCGTCCCTTCGAGGGAGTAACGCGCGACCTCATTTCTAGGAACTGAATCCCATCAGAGATTGAAATTTCTATTTTTCTTCGTGCTTCACCTCAGATTCATCATGTGGCCGTGGAACACGCCAACATCATGGCCTACACCTCCACCTTCGGGCTGTCCGGCACCGCCTTCTTCGACATCGTCACCTTGGACCACACAACATTCTCCCCCACATCATGGTTCACCACTTTTTGGCCAACCACCATCAATGACAATGCCACCGGATACCACTACACCATTTTCCCAAAGCCCACCGGAGCACGTCTTTGGACACCCCACAGATCTTCACCTACACTGGACCAATCGACAGCCTATGCCAACGTTCCCACCCGAGCCGAATGCACCGCCGACTACCTCTACTGCTCCACATGCTCCTGAACTTTGGACCCACTTTGCGATCAGTAACCCGCCGCCCACGGCACCTCCATCTACGTGCCCACTCCCACATCAAGGACTCCATGCTGGACCTCCTCAGCCAGTTCGACCAGGTGTATATGCAGGCCTTCCTCACGCTCCACCCCCACCTATAACATCACCTCTGCCCGGGCCCAAACACTGGTGGGCTTTGGCTGTGGGCACAATGGGGTCTTGACATCCATGAGGATCGGTTGGAGATTTGGCTAACCCAAGAGCCACCATGCGTTTTTCAACGAGAATCACTTCACAATTTGAACTAAGCACAGGAACGGATGAAGGTGACTTCTCATTTATCTTTCTACGCACTTGGCGCAATCTGAGACTGCGGTGAACCTCTTGTCCATTCCATTTTTTTGCTTATATTGTGGGATTCTTCCTGGCTTTTATTGATTTTTTTCTATTCTTCAAGCTGGCGACGAAGGAATTTCCTTTCACTCCGCACCAAACCCTCCTGTCACGTGCAACTGAAGTGTTTTTGCACGACAGACGCATTCCACATCAAAATTCGATAAGTTAAGACAAGTCTGAGCAAGTGTGTGACTCATGTCGGATTCGACAGGATGACATGAGCTTGGGGGAATACCTCTCTAGGTACGTAAGAAATGGGAACCGTCGATCTGACTCTGAATTTACAGAATTCAACCTGGTAATTCGTCCAAGCAAAGTCTAACAGTTGGCATTTTCAGGTCTCACCTTGTCGTCTGTCGACTTGTTGAACAACTGGCCGCTGTACCGGGCTTCACTTCCTTTTCTTTGTGAGACTGTCAACTTGGATTTGTCGAAATTGGGAAACCTCTCTTTTTTTCAGCGTTGCTTGAGATAGAACAGTGCTTGATATTTCATAACATGACAACCTTCCCAGGCACAAGGGCATGCTTTCAGGTGTGGTGAATACTTCTTTTTTGGTCGTTGGTGAGGCCCAGTTGTGCATTAATTCAGGGGTTGAATACGTAAGCTGTCCAAAGGGTTTGAACTGACTACCGAGGGCCTTGAGCGGTATCACGGCTACTGCATGAGTATGTGGATGCATGATTTTCACAAACTAGTTCCCCATTGGTCCCCTATCTCATGCGTGCTCCCTCTCTAGGTCAGGTCAGGTTTGGGTCCTTCGCGTGCCGTGGTAGGTTTAGCTCTCGCCTTGTAGGTTGCGTCAGGCGCTTCCGTCCGCCCCCCTCCTCTTGTCGGTGTTTGGCCCGTCGTCCGTCCGCTTTTTTCTCTTCCCTTGCCCTTTCTGGGTTTGCCCGCTCTGGGCTAGGTGTGTTGGTATTGGTGTTTTCCCTTTTTTCCTTTGTTCTTTTGCGTTCCCCGTCTTGTGTCCCGGTTAAGTACTTTGTCATCTCACTCTCATCATCATCTCATCTCCATTTCCTTTTCATCTTCACCTTCATCTCATTTGTCGGAGCCTTCAAAGCCCCGCTGCTGCGGGGTGTGTATGTGTTTGTGTGTGTGAAGCATCCCAATAGATGTAAAGCTTGTACTTTGTTTGTTGCAGGGGGCCCATGGGCACTTGGATGGCATGGGCCAACGAAGACCCATCCAAGTTGCTGTGCAAACGTACTTGCAATTTTTGAATCGTGATGGGATGTGGCTAACCCAAGAGCCACCATGCCGTTTTTCAACGAGAATCACTTCACAATTTGAATTAAGCACAGGAACGGATGAAGGTGACTTCTCATTTATCTTTCTGCGCACTTGGCGCAATTTGAGACTGCGGTGAACCTCTTGTCCATTCCATTTTTTTGCTTATATTGTGGGATTCTTCCTGGCTTTTATTGATTTTTTTCTATTCTTCAAGGTGGCGACGAAGGAATTTTCCTTTCACTCCACACCAAACCCTCCTGTCACGTGCAACTGAAGTGTTTTTGCACGACAGACGCATTCCACATCAAAATTCGATACGACAAGTCTGAGCAATTGTGTTGCACAAGGTGAATTTAATGAAGAAGTGCCTGCAGGTCAGACAGTAGACTTGACTACTTTGCTTGACAACCGTTTGATGACTCATTTCTCAAGACGTTCCTCTTGGGGAGTTTAGAAATGGTAAGGTTGGTCAATGGCAACCTCTTACCTATGGTGCAGCAGCATCAGACCGAGATCGAAGTGGTGGTCTCAGCATCACTGCAGAGGCTACGAATCACAAGGTGGAAAGGATTGCCACGAAGGCGGCAAGGTCGTATGACTACTGGTAGCAGGTGTATCATGGTGTATCATGGTGTATCATGGTGTATCGTCATGTGTGCAACCGCTTGTATTTGCACGCGATACAAGAGTCTTCTGGTGGAACTATTTTCTGCTTTCACTGTAACCTCAGACGGATGTTCGAAACCAGATCGGGACGCATCCAAATACAACGTAATGACATAAAACGATGTAAAACGAGGCAGTAAAGTGAGATAGGGAATGTCCAACCGTTCCAGTAACTTCAACATAGGCTTCATGTGAGAACCAAGGAGGTCTTCAATCGCCTGTTCAGCTGCAGCCGCTTGCGCTCAAACAATCGATCCTTTATTGCGTTGCTATGGGGCTGTGGGCAAAGGCAGTGGCCCAGGCTAAAAAGCGCCTTGAAAGCAGGAGATTCAGATGGTGGTACAGTGGATTTGAGAGGCACAGAAATAGAGTGCTCAGACAACATCTTCTTAAAGATCTTTGTTGAAGTTAACTCCAAACAACAGCTGGTCTAGTAGGTCTTCCGAGCGACCTGGCGCTTGCTCTTTCTCCAAGGCAAGAGAAAGATCCCCATGAAGCTTCGAAGCTCGCCAAGCGCATCTATGGAAAGGCACGAAGAAAGGCGAAGGCTGGCGATCTACTCGAAATTCTTTCGAATTCTGACTGGTTGGGGGGGGGGAATTTTAATCGTCAGAGCAGAGACTTTTACATAATCAATTTCAGGGCTTTGAACACCTTTGTACCTGGTGGCCCAGGGTCACTGGGTGGGATGGGATCCGGCAAGTGCACCTGACTCACCTACTAGATATTGCATGATATTGCCCCAATGCCCTGTGTGTCTGCTTCGTGAGCTTAACATGATTGTATTGTGTGAGCATGTTGCTTATGTTGTGCAGCTGCAGATCTGCTGCTGTGGCAACTTGGATGGGTGTTAACCCATGTTTGCTATTATGCAGTCAGTGCTAATTTGGGGGCATATTGATTCATAGTGGGTTGTGCATATGAGCTACCACGTAAAAGATGCATTCAAAAAGTTATACAAAAAAGGAATATAAATAGATGAAAAGTGGTCTGAAGCCTGGGAAAACGAAGCCGGCCCCCAAAAACGAAGCTTATATGGATATGCCGCTTTTTATCCTGATAATTTACAAGCCGGCTTATATTGGGAGCTGGACTGCGTATCCAAGTTGAGCTTGAAAAGAGACTTGCTTTTTTTTCCCGGATCTCCCATTGCTTACCGTCTTACCGCTGGTTTCATTCTCTTGACTATCTTGCCTCTTTTGTGAAGGCTTCTGAGTCTTAGACGAAATTTCAGGCCTCAAAGACAACAATGAAAGCAGCAGCCATGAAGACGATGAAGGCCTTTGGCCTGGCGGGGGGAGGCTGCGATGTACAGCCTACATACTCCCAGGATGCCGCACGTATTTCCATAGTGTCTCCATAGTGTTTCCATAGTATTGCCCAGTAGTGTTTCCATAGCATTCCCATACTATACCATGGACTTGTGGCTGGAGGCAGTAGTGGGAGAACAGAAACAAGAATCGTTCGATGCGGATCTGGAAAGCACATGGAAGTAAGCACCAGTATTTATTTCATTTTATTTATCTCTTCACATTCGGAAGCACAAGTCATACAGTACAAGTCCTATTGCAGCGTTGCAAGGTACAATCTTGATAGATCTTGACGACGCATGGTGTCCATGCACTAGTCTAGTTTTCCCATGAACAAACACCCCCCAGGAACCCGTAGTCAGTATTGAAATGTGTGTGTATATATATATAATATTTTACATACACACACACACGCTTGCACATACATGCACAAACTAGAAATTCAGGCAACAAACATAGCGATGTCATAACATCGATAAGAGTGTTAGATGTCCTCCAGTACAAAGCTTTTTTGGGCGTTGTGATCACAGCAGTGCTCGGGCATTTGGCTTCCTTGTTTGAACTGTGCAGATGGGAGACCTGTTGTTTCCTTTCACAGCCTTTCCCAGCATTGTGCTAGTCAAAGGAAGGAAACATTTGGAGCCCAAAACTGCAGTCTACCTATCTTGAGTTGAAGACGGCACACTGCACACGGACGAAAGGGACTCAATTGGGACTGACATTGAATTTGCTTAACTAGTGTTGCTTTTGGTGGATTTGAGCGCCAGAAAACAAACATTTCTGCAACCTTTCCTCTCCGACATATGGAATCGAAGGCATCAATGAAGGCAATGAAAGCGATGAAGGCGATGAAGGCGATGAAGGCAATGAAAGGAGCCAAGTAATCGACGCGCTGCACTGGTTTGGTGTTTTGATTTTGCCACATGTGCAAGCCTACATTGCTTGCCTGCTCCACGACTGACGCTCCACGACGGCGGAGCTACAGCATAGAAAAAGAGTGGATGGCCCCTCTTGTGACTTGCATACAGATGCTTGATGTGGTTGTGCGAGAGAATGCCTTGTCATGCGCCAAGGGAACTTCCGTTGACGGATCACGTTCAGATTCCAGAGTTTGCACGTACCAAGTATGTACGCATGTCTGCAAGATTCAGGTTTGGAACGAGAAAGGCCAAAAGCCTAGTTCGTCGAGGGTACTGGGAAAGGGCTGTAAATCAAGTCAGTTTTCCTCACACTTTGAGCGGGTTAGTTGGGGGTTGGCAGCCGTGAGCAGTGGGAGGCTGCTCAATTGCACAAGCTGAACCGTATTGATTGTAGTCGACAAGAAACAACCATTCCCGATAGTCCATCGTCGTCGTCGTCCTCCTCCCTGTCACCGTCACCGTCATCGTCACCGTCATCATCTTTTTTTTGCCACATTTCCCCAGTTCACTGCCCTTTGGTATTCCCTGCCAAGGCAACGTTGGGTTGACCAGACATCAGCACCTTTGGGGCTTGAAGCTCGGCCACTGACAACTTCTATGCACTAGAAACAATTTTGGCTTTGTGTTTCTTTTTTCCCTGTTGCTCTTAGGCCAATGCCAACCTGGGTGGGAAACTGAGAGCTTTGCAGAGATGCGGCACTACTGTACAAAAAGTCAGCCTTTTTGGACTTTTTTATATGCTCAGCAAAAGTCTCGATGTTTCACTTTATTTTTGTGCCTCCTTTCAGTCGCTGAGCCATGGCCCAGGAGTACGAAGAACACGCCACTGAGTCCAAGCGACCTTTGGGTGGAACCTACACCACGGTGAAGTTGAGGTCAGGAAACAAAGTTTGTGGAGAAGGAATGAATATAATGAACAACTCTGAAATTCAAGCCTTTGGATTAGTTTCCGGCTGTTTCGTTGATGCTAAGCATATATGCTAGGCCTGGCTCTGCAAGCTCTTCAAAGGCTACACAGATACAGGAAACACCGGGCAAAGCTGGGCGAAGGATGCCGAACGTGTCTTGAAACATTCCAGGTTTGGCTAAGCTTGCTTATTCATGGCATGTGCATGATTTTTTTCTTTGAGTGTAGACTGTGGTGGAGACACAGGCCGAGCCAGACTTTGGATGTTTCCATGAAACTTTGTAAGACCGCAGCCATTTTGTGAGAGTTGTTTAAGGGTGACAAGAGGCAACAGTCATGGTGACCATTTTGGCATGGGAATCTTGAGAAGATTTGCAGGCCACAATGAACTAGGTTCATGTTTGGTCGGAGCTGTGAACGCACTCATCAGAAATCATTGGACAATTGCTGCCCAGCTAAATTCACCCTTTGGGCACCGCGGAATCCGAAACATTCAACGCTAGATTGCCACAACCCAAGCCTCAAACACCAAACCCCAAATCGAAAGTCCTGAAAATCCATCAGACCATCCACCTGTCGCAGTGAAATGACACCCAGGACGGAGCCCAGCAGCCGCTGCGGAGGCAGGGTTCCTAGCAGAGGAAACATAGGAAACGCACATTGTAGAGTCAGACACGGCAATTCAGTCAAGCCATGGTGTGACGTGATCTCACATGACAGCGAGCCAGCAAGCCAGTCAGTCAGTGAGCCAGTCCGTTCATCAGTGAGTTGATCATCAGCTTGGAGAAATGTCCTGATACAGTAGTCAGTGTCCCCTGTAACGTGCTTGCTTCTCCTGACAGCTAGAGACACATCCATCCAACCCATGATTCAACCGACTCCACCCAAGTCACTATAAGTGGTCCATAAGTCACTCAACTAAATTCATCTATATAAATTCTATAAGTCCACCAAACTCATTCCACCTCGGTCACCTCGCCCCGCCTTACTCCATGTTCCCTTTCGCATCTCGCCTGGCATTACCGGCTCCCATCTTTCTCTGCTTAGCTTTCGTTCACCAACCCTTGAGACTCAAGTGTGGAGAATGTTCTGATAGTCAGATCATCAACAGTGCAGTGGGTGTTGACAAGAGTTTCGGTAGGGATTTGCTTACTGATATGGATGGAAAAACAGCGTATGCAAGGCTAAGGTGTTGTAGAATACAAACGGATTTAAGTTTCAAGCAAGTACAAGCAGTCATGACGCTTGCTGCTTCACTGATGACCCTTTCCACGTGACTAATTATACGTATATATTCATGTGAATAAGATATGCATCATTTTCTCTGTGTATGGTGTGCTCGTATGTAGGTTTGTTTATATAACTATATCTGTAGGTACGTATGTACGTACAAGGAATGTAGGTAGCTAGGTAGCTAGCTAAGTAAGTAGACAGATAGTACGCAGGTAGGTGCAGGTCTGTAGGTCTGTAGGCGCGCAGGAGGTCGGTAGCGCAGGAGGTCTGTAGGTGTGCAGAGATGAGAAGTCTGCAGGTGTGTAGGTCGGTAGGTGCGCAGAAGTGTAGGTATGTAAGTAAGTTTGTAGTGGTATGTATTGGTATGTATTGGTATGTATTGGTATGTAAAGGTATGTAAGGGTCTGTAATGGCATGAAATGTTTGTAATGTAACCTGGCGCAACTGTAACGCAATCTAACGGTATGTGTCTCTGTCATGAAATAAAATGTAATGTAGTGTGATGTAGTGTAATGTAGTGAAATGTACTGTCATGTAGCGTTGTGTAGTGTAAAGCGGTGTACTGGAATGGAATCTTATGTAATTCAATGTACTGTAATGCAATGTGCTGTACTGTAATGTAATGTAACGTAATGAAATGAAACGTATGCAACGGATGGAATGCATGCAAAGCATGGTGTGTTATGTAATGGATGCAATGACTGCAATGTCTGCAAACTATGTTTGTTATGTATGCAATGGATGTCACGTGATGTATGCAATGTATGTAATGTATGTATTGCATGCAATGTATGTACGTCAAGTTTTGTTAAGTTATTTTACATTTTTCTATGTTATGCTATGTATTGTTTTGTAATGTAACGCAACGAATAACCGAATGTAATGCAATGCAATGTATGGTATGTATGGTATGTACGGTATGTAATGGTATGTATGGTATGTATAGTATGTACGGTATGTAATGGTATGTAATGGTATGTAATGGCATGTAATGGTAAGTAATGGTATGTAGTGGCATGTAATGTATTGCAGTATAATGTAAATATTGTCATGTCATGTCATGTAATGTAATCATGTATTTGCACTGTTTGTATGTATGTAATCTAATGCAATGCAATCTAATGTAATGCAAGGTAACGTGAGGGTGATGTGTTGTGATGTCTTGTGATGTGTTGTCATGACGACAAGTAGAAAAGCAGAGAAGCAGGAGCAGAAGAAATTCAAGAATCCAAAGAAAATACCTGAACCTGCTCAAAAGAAACCTAAAATCAATAGCCCTCCATAAGAAAGGGTTGCGACAAAAGCACGGGCCCAAAATCAAGCCCCAAATCGCAAATTTATTTTTGAAAGGCATTCTGAGAGAAATTGCCGGAAAAATCACAAAACACCAGCCCGAAGAACCTACAAATGCCTGAAAGCAATCATTATATTATAGTTGATCTCTACTGCACAGACTGTAATAGGCAGATTTGGAAATCTGCTTATTACAGCTGCTTGAAAGTTGAGACTTCTTTGGGCAACAAACTCAAGAAATAGCAGGCTTAGCCCAGAAATTGAACCAGACTAGAACATACCAGAATAATTTGTTTAAGCAGTTTCAATCAATCACAGCACAATATAGAAGGGCTGCCGTTTCTAGGAGTCCAAGGCACTGTCAAAAGCGTTCGTTTGTAAAGCAGTCTTAAGAGAGTTTTGGAATGAGAAAGGGTTGCGACAAAAGCACGGGCCCAAAATCCAGCCCCAAATGTATGTTTAAACGGCATTCCGAGAGAAATTGCCGGAAAAAAAACACAAAAAACCAGCCCGAGGAAGGGCTGCCGTTTCTAGGAGTCCAAGACAGTGTCGAAAAGCGTTCGTTTGTAAAGCAATCGGGCTCAAAATCAAGTCGCAAATGTATGTTTAAAAGGCATTCTGAGAGAAATTGCCAGAAAAAACAAAAAAACAGCCCGAGGACACCTACAAATGCTTGAAAGCATGCATTATTATAGTTGATCTGCACTACACCTTAAACTACGCTGACTGTAGCAAGCAGATTTGGAAATCTGCTTATTACAGTTGCTTTAAAGTTGGGACTTCCTGGGGCAACAAATTCAAGAAATAGCCGGAAAGCCCAGAAACTGAATCAGACTAGAA